GTGAAAAGACTTCCTTACCCACAGGCCAAGCCAATGTCATACGATCCATTTCGGATGCCACCTGTAACAGCAGTGCACAAACATTCTTACTGTCATCAGGAGCAAAAGCATTTCCATCCCAGCTCTGGTTTCCAAACCCCTGAGGCATCTGGCAAAGCCAAATGGGCATTCCCTCATCCTCCTGCCTGCCAGAGCAAGAGCCAGGCCAAGGAGCTGATGGGGCTGAGGACTGACCATGACCTGACATGGGGCCAGAGAGGACTGGAGGGACCCTTCTGGAAGCTCTGATATGGAGGTGACAGTAGAACTTATACCCAGAAAACCAAGTTACTTCTCTAGGGATAAACTCAGCCAGTCAAGGTTATAAAAGTATTCAACTAACACCCCACTGAAAATTCCCAGCTGCGCAAGACATTGTCACTGTTCTCACTGCTCAGAGAGACTGGAGGAATGAGCACTTGGGGTGGGGCAGGCATGGACTCCGATCCCAGTGCCCACAACACCTACCAGCTATATTGATAATGGCCTGTAGACCTGAGGAGCACTGCCGGTTCACACTGGAGCACGGAACTGTCTCTGGAATACCACTGGAAAACAAGACAGCATTGGCAAAGACTCAGTGATGAAAACCACCAACAACCCAAAGCTCTAAAGGGAGCATTAAACCACCTGATTAAACTTTAACCCTCAAGTTTCCAAACCAACCCCTTTATACATTTGTTGACCTATTTGGTCCTGCACCAAGGGAAAGCAAAGTTCAAAGATAACTTCCACACTTGATTGGCAAGTGGCTCTGAGTGCTGTTTCCCCATGAGTCTGTCTTCAGAAGGTCCTCTTTGAGCAGAACTCTCTCCTGGGCCTAGATCTCAAGCTCTGATCTGGGCCAGAAACCCTGAAAAGTTTTGCAATATTCCTAATTATTGGTGGGCTGTTCCAGCACCTGTCCAAAGTGGTGGTAATGCACTGACTGACAGAAGCAAACAACAGCAACAGACAGTGACTGAAATATTTGGAATCTGGGATCCAGCTCAGTATTAGCCATTGACCACCAACACTGGACAATGACAGAAAGATCTGAGCCCACTCCATGGTTTTGGGATCAGGCACAGCAGAGAGAAGCACAGCCTCCCAGTCTGGAGAAGCAGCAGGTGCAGCCCACAAAACAAGATCTCCCATTCAGAGGCAGCACAAACAGATTAAACAGCCTCACCTCTGCCTCCCCATCCCTTTGCCATCAGTGTTCTCCAAACACTCGACCGAAGTCTAGTTTCTAGGCAAAAGGTGGACTGGTGTAATTCCTGGGAGTGCATGAGCCCCACCACAACCTCCAATCCCTGCTCTGCAGCCAAGGCTTGGGGAGCAGAGGGAGAACCTCAGCCTGGTTGGGAGTTTACCTCAGAAACTGTGCAACTCTTGCAATCAAGGCACCAGCTCCAGGCTGCAGCACGTTCCCTGAGTGCAAAGATACAATTCCAGTCAATGGGTTACATTCCCCTTGCAGGCATCAAAGGGATGTTCCCATCACCCCAGCTCAGCACCACTCAGCACCCAGATCCCCCTACCACGGACAGGACAGGCGTGAAATAGGAACACTGCCTTCCTAAACCCAACGCTGCACACTAACCCCTCCCAACCCCATGAGTATCCCACGGGACACCAGGAGCAGCGTGTCCCACAGAGCCACCCGGACCAGGAGGTTCTCACTCACCCACACAGATGTCTCCCAGGGCCTCAGGACGGAGGTTGACATCCTGGAGGACAGCTGTCATCACAGCAGCCAGCAGCTCGTCGGGTGTCGTGTCCTGAGAGCACAGGGGATCAGTGCCACCAGCAAACACCAGTCACAGCCCTGCCACCAGTTCACCCCCAGACCACTCCAGAGGGCTAAGGCAGCTTTACTCTTCTTCTCAGCTTACACTGGTTGTTGTTTTCCTGCTGCAACAGAGTTACTCTGTCTTCACCCCAAGTGTCTTTCAAGCAATTGAACACACACACTGCTTTCTCACCTGACCTCCGTTTTTATAGGAACACACTGTATTGGGCCTTCAAAATCAAACAATTACAGTGAGTTATGTGACAAGATTCAGCAAACTGAGCCCCTTGACTAATTTTGTGAAAGGATTTATTTTGTGGCCCCTCAGCTGGTGGGAAGCACCGCCGCCATGACGAGACCCGTTCTGAAGGATGACAAGGCGCATCCTTCAGGGCCATCCTGGCACTACGTTCTCGCTGAGGGCTCTGTGGCGGCGGGTTCCAGAAGGGTGGCAGGTCCGAGGAGGTGAAGGCCACGCTGCTTTTCCAAGGGGATGCTCCGCGTGCCAGGGCAGGTGACAGCGGAGACTGTGGCTGGTCCCAGGAGACCCCTCGGGACGCTGCCCCGCTCTTCTGGGGGACGCCACCGGCCCTGCCACACCTGGACCACCCACCCCGAGCATTTAAACCATCGCAAAACGTTCTTTTTTTTACACTTTTTCAGAGTAGAGCAGCTCCTGGGCGGCAGCTGGGCGTCCAGCACCCAGGTACGCGAGGAAGGGGATCCCAGCACCTGTGAGGGGCAGGCGGGGGGGTGGCAGGCGGGGCAGGACCCTCCCATCCGTACCTTGAAGCCGCCGCGCTTGGCGCGGCCGATGGCGGTCCTGCGGCCGTGCACCACCACCACGTCGTCGGGGCTGGCGGCCCGCGGGGGGCCCCCGGCACAGGGCACAGCCCTCGGGGCGGCCGCGGGGCCCGGGGCGGCCCCCGAGAGGTGCCCCAGCACCAGCTGCGCCCGCCGCGCTGCCGCCGCCGCCATCTTGTCACTGACGGCGGGCATTTGCATGGCACCGCCCCCTCATTTACATACCGCCCTCTCTATTGTTATTGCCCTCCTCATTTGCATGCGGCGCCCCTCATTTACATACTGGGGCGGTGTTAGTCACTGTCCCTCCTCATTTGCATGGCCCCGCCCCCCGGTGTAACCCACGCTCCGCCCCAGAACGGCCAAGCCGAGCCCAGCGAACCCACAAGGCTGAGCTTAAATTTAAATAGGTGTTGGGGTAAATAGGGAAATTTGAAGTAAAGGAATCGGGTTGATAAAGAAAAAATAAACAAAATAATAAAAATTAAAAGGCGGGAAAAAGGGGGGAAAAAAAAGGGAAAAAAAATGAAAAAAGGAGTAAAGATAAGAAAAAAGAAAATAAGGAGAAAAAAGGAAAAAGAAAAAAAGGAGTAAAGATAAGAAAAAAGGAGAAAAAAAATAGGAAAAAGCGGGGGAAAAGGAGAAAAAAAGGGGGGGTAAAGCAGAAATAAAGGAGAAAAAAGAAAAAAGGGAAAAAGGAAAAAAATGAAAAAGGGAAAAAAGGAGAAAGGATAAAAAAGAAAAAAGATGGGAAAAAATATAGGAAAAAGCAGGAAAAAAGGATGAAAAGGAAAAAAGAAAAAAGCAGGAGAGAAGAAAAAAATGGAAAAAAAGGAGAAAAAAGGAGAAAAAAGGAAAAGAGAAAAAAGGGAAAAAGGAAAAAAGAGGAAAAGAGGGGGGAAGAGGGGGAATGAAGAAGAAATAGAAATAAAGAAAAACTAAAATTTTGAAATAAAAATAAACAAAAATTAAAATTATAAAAGCCTATGTGTTTGGAATACAAGGTGGGATGTCAGGACAAAGGGACACGCAGTGCCATCGGGTCAGAGAACTGCACAGATCCACTAGTTCCAGAGAACCCTGGGAATCATCATCTCCTTGTCACCCTCCGGCCCCGCTGCTGCCCTGGGATGGTCAAACCAGGTGTCCTTTGTGCCCCTGCCCTGCTGGGAAGGGGCTGTACTGGTGAGCAGGGGACAGGCAATGGAAATGTAGGATTGTGGAATCATTAAGGTTGGAAAAGACCTTCAAGATCATCGAGTCCAACCATGTTCAACACTAAACCACATCCCCAAGTGTCACACCCACACGCTTTTTGAACACTTCCAGTAATGTTGATTCCACCACTTTCCTGGGCAGCCTGTTCCAATATCCCACTCCAGCCTCCTTCCCAAGGGGAATTAATTTCTCCATGGATACCCGGGGATGCAGCTCACAGGGGAAGCCGCAGGGCCTGCTACAGGCAAAGTAAAATAAAATCAAACCAAACCAAACCAACAGAAAATGACTTTACATGGCAGGATATTCCATTCGCTTTTCCTGGTTCCATTCTGTACATCAGAACACTGCAAGGGTTTTACAAACCAGAGAGGCAAAGGCACCTGAGGAGTGTCTCAAACGCACACACGCGCGCACACACACACGCACACACACATCCCCACGAGCCACATCCATCCACGGGATGTTTGGGTGGTTTGAGGGCCCTGGGAGTGTTTTGGGCTTGAGAGCCTTTCGCTCTCAAGGCTTTGGAGAGAAGGAAAACACCCACCCACCACTGAAGGACTGAGAAAACCCAAACCAAACAGATTCAATGAAAGAGAAGAAAACAGCTTAAAAATGGTTTTGATTTTTTTTTTTTTTAAACTTTGGTGAACACGTACTTTGTTGCTCTCTTCTGCCAAGCCCCTTCCCAGCCAACGCTGATTTTTTTTTTCCCTTGTATTTGTTTCCAGCCATCCCATATTACTGATCAGACTGATGGGTTTGGTCCTGTTCACAGAATAAAGTCCTTCATTCCCCCTTGGCAAGGGGTGACTTTACCCCCTCAAGGAAAGCTGTCCATCACTGCCATGGTGACTGGCACAAACCCCCGGTGCTGCTCCATCACTGCCCCCCAGCTTCCCCGGATCCCAGCCTAGGCAATAACCAGCCTCTGCAGCTTTCAGGCAAACTTACAGGGAATTATTTTAGCTATTTCTTTTAATTTGCCCTAATACTCACAGAGTTTCATTATTTTAAAACTGAAATAACCCTTAGAATCATGAAATCATCGAATGTTTGGGGCTGGAAGGGATCTTAAAGGTCATCTCGTTCCAAGCGCCCTGCCACGGGCAGGAACACCTTCCACCAGACCAGGTTGCTCCAAGCCCCATCCAAACTGGCCTTGAATATTTCCAGAGAAGGGTCACCCACAGCTTCTTTGGGCAACCTCTTAAATTTTGCTTCTCTTTTCAGAGCTAAGGATGCAGAAACACTCCCACTGCCACACCAGCACTGCAAAGCCTTGATCTCCATGTGGAAGAATTCAAGGATGTATTCACACAAACAACCAATTTCTCACTTTCCTCTTAAGTCTAAGCAACACTTTTCATTTTCAATGAACGCCAGTGTTAAAATAAACCTGTGTCTGGCGCTGGCCTGAGGATGGAACCTCCCAATACCTTCTTATTTAACCCTTTGCTGAGCCAGGTGGAACTAGCTAACTCCGCAGGGAAGGGGGAGGTGGGTTGGAGCAACTAATTCATCCAAAACAACCAAGATCTGATTAATTATTTAATTACCTTCCAGGGATTCTGTGCGTGCTCCCTGCCAAGGTTTTCCAGCAGGGACAGAGGCCACTGCTGGAAAACTCTGACCAGTTTTCCAGCTGGTCAGAGGCCACAGCCCAGCTCTGCTTTCAACTGGCCCATTTTCTCCTACAACTTTAAATCTACTGTGGGAAGAAATCTCCTTCCAGCTCCCCTTGACCACCACAGATCCACTACCCTGGTCTGAGGCTCCATGATCCTGCAGCTGCTCCCTTGGGCACCACCAGGGAGATGACATCCCCCTTCCCTGTACCTGGGGATGGTCCCACAAGGCATGGAGGAGAAGGCACCCAGATCCACAGGCACTGGTCCTCTCTGCCTAATTTTAGGCACTCGCTTGGGTTTTACAAAGACCCCCTGGGCTCTTCCTACAGCTTCACTTCCAAAACACATTGGCATCCTCCCAGCCCCAGCACAGCAGCATGGGCATGGATTAGCAGAGCTGTGGCTGAGCAGAGCCATCCTCGCTGAGATTCCCTTCAGCTCCCACTGGAATCCTGATGGTTCCCAACGTGATCTGGCTGGTGCTGAGCCCTGCCAGCATCAACAGCATTTAAACACCATTGTCATTTAAACAGCCCTCAGCCTGTGGCAGGAGTCCCGGGCATCCGTCCGTGGGTGTACCCAGCAGAGACCTCCTGCACCCCGAGAAGACCCCTTTCTTCCCAGACTCACACACACACACACAGACACACACGCACACATACACACACACAAACGCAAAGTCAACACGGCTGCTGCATCATCACACCCGACTCCGAGTCGAGCATCACTCCTTGATTGTAACCGCGTAAGGCACAGGACAGATTGAAACGCCGCCCCCCCGGAGCCGCCGGCTGGTCCCACGAGCTCCAGCGGGGTCGGACCCCTTGGGAACGGGGACACCCGGGTCCCCCCGACTCTGCGGTCTGAGGATCATCTCCTCCGGCTCGGCTGAAGGCCCTGTCTCTGTTCCTCTGCGAAAGGCAGTGATGGCCACTGAGCATCCGATTCCTCCCCCGGTCCTGAGGGTGCTGCCAGCACCGCCGTCATGCTGGGGGGACAGACCCCATGTGCTGCACTTCCCCCAAGAGATCAGTTACACGATGAGGGGGGACAACCCCGGTACCGCTGGCGGCGAGGAGGTTACGTGGTCCCAGGCCAGCACCCGCACAGTCCGGGAAATCCCTCGCTCCGAATTCCCGGCGCCAACAGTCCCGAACGCAGCTTGAAAATCCAACAGCGCGGCGGGTGCCGAGGCAGCGACGAGTGAGAAGGGACCTGCGGAGGCCACTGCCAGGACAGCCCCGGGCAGGGGTCTGACCGCGGGTCCAGCGGCCGCCTCCATCCCGCCGGCGCTTCCCAACCCCGCTGCCAGGGGCTCAGAGCCCGCAGTTGACAAAGGGGTGTCTCAGCAGGTCCTCGGCCGTCGGCCTCCGCTTCTCCTCCACGAAGATCTGCTTGAGGAAGTTTCGGCAGCAGCTGGAGACGCTGTCGGGGAGCTGGGGGTTGGTCGGCTGGGTGGCGATCTTGAAAATAGCAGCCATGGCCTCGAACTCTGCCCACGGCGGCTTCTCCGTTAACATCTCCACCACGGTGCAGGCCACGCTCCTGCAACAGCGCCAAGCACAGAGGTGAGGTGGGAGGAAAGGGTCAGGGGTGGTGGACCTGCAGGTGATGTCTGATCACCTGCCTGAATGGACTGTGTGGGAAGCAAATGCCCACGAGGTGAGCACATGTCCCCCAGAGCTCCCAAAGGTCACACTTGGCACTGGGATTTCCACTCCCACAGCAGGAGTGAACTCAGGAGCTTTGCCCTAAAGCTGGTGGATTTTCTGCCTACGTTAACCATCAGATACTAAGTTTCATAAAACTGCTTGAGAGATCTTATCAGGGCATCCCCTGAAGGGAAGCCCAGGCACAGGTTCAGACACCATAGTTTCAGCAATACTATGTAGCTCCCCAGGAAGCTGAGCCAGAATGAAACATGTTTGCTCATTCCCAACTTAATCTCTGAGGTGTATCTGAGAAAGAACACATCTGATGAGCAGCAAAGAGCCTGTGAGGTTTCTCTCTGCGTGCTGAGTCCTCCTTGTCTCAGCAGGGACACTCTGCCACCTCCATTCATAGTTGATTCTAAAAAAATTAAACCACATTTCCCTTCCATCAGCCAGGGCAGGTGGGGCAGGGTACATGGCTGCCTGCTAAGGACTCCCTAGCTTTCCCCCACCAAATAGGGTTCTCTTGGAAGGACTAGTTTTTGTTGAAGCTACTTGCTTGGTCACGCAATGGAAAGCACACCGAAGGCAGTACTTCCTCCTCATTTATTGAGAGGATTAATACTGTTATCCCAACTCTTTCAGGCTCCATCTGACATCCTTCACAAATTAAATCATTCACAAGCAGCCAATAGTTTTTGTTGTCTTCGTGCCTGAGCCACATGCAAACATCCAGGAGCAGATTTTGAAAGGCCTCTTAGATCTTCTGAGCCTCTGAGCTCGGCTTAGCAAACCTAAAATCAGGGCCACCAAAACTCAACAGCTCTTTTAGTGAACTTCGTTGTCAACTTGCTTTCCAGAATTGAGAGCAGTTATGGGACTAAGCTGAACATGATACTCACACACGACAAGAGCTTCCAAAAGCAAGCTCTGATTCTGACTGCTCCTGTTTTGGGATCTTCAGCTACAACATGCTCCCTCTGGATATCCACACAGCTGATCCTAACATACGTCTCCTATTTCCATCCTTTGCACTGCTTCCAACTACTAGCTACACCTGTTGCTCCCATTACAACTTCCCCAAAGGATTGCTTGATTTAAGTAGCAGTGGTGGGGTTTGTACTGTATCCCTTACCACACATCAGCTTTCCTTCCGTAGCCCTCTCCACTGATAACCTCTGGGCTCATCCAGTACGGTGTTCCCGTGACAGATTTAATCCCAGTCCCAGACATGCAGATGGTCTGGATGCGTTTGCTGGCCCCAAAATCTCCAAGTTTCACATTTCCAGCAGAATCTCTCAGGATATTGGCACCTGGGGCGAAAAGCAAAGACAAAACCCCAAGAGATGAAAGCAACAACCTGAACTGAAGTGGCTACACTGAGGAGAGCAGGAAGGGCACGGGCACAGAGCCGGGCATGAGGGGGCCCAAAGGGCCGTGGTGGGGCTGGACTCAGCATTATGTAAAATCCTTTTCTCCTAAAGCAGCTTCCCTCCAAGAGGGTTGAATCCCACCAGCATCCCCTCACTCAGCACGTTTCCCAGAAGTGAGCAGTGGATGGGAGCCGACAGATCATTCTCCCCACCCCAGACAGCAGAATAGAGCCCCAGACCTTTCCAAATGCCAGAGCCTCTCAGTTCCTGGGTATGTTACACCAGGTTTTCACATGTGCAAGAGCAGTTAACAATAACTCCTCTTGAGAGAAGACAGCACAAGATTCTGGCTTCAGCTGCACGTTCAAGATTTTCATGGTTCAAGCTGGTGAAGGGCAGGGGCAAAAATACTTTAAATGTGAGATCCCAGCACTATGCTGTGCACAAGAATTTATACTGGGGCCGGGGGAGGCTGGGTTGAACAAATCCAAGCAAGCAAGAAGCCTCTCTGTATTATCCACTCACCTTTAATGTCCCTGTGGACAATCATATTGCTGTGTAGGTAGAAGACTCCCTGCAGGATCTGCCTGGTGTACTTCCGTGTGACGTTCTCGGTCAGAGCACCGTAAGCTTTTAGCTGGTCCTTTATTGAGCCCTGTTGCAAAGAAACAACATGAACCCGCCGTAAGGACCAGCAGAACTATCGTGTCACAGGAACTTTTTAAGTTTTCCTGACCACTTTATCATCCAGCTCAAAAAAACCCCCAAACCATTCTGTGTAGAAACAGCAAAAGTCCACTTAGTGCTGAGCGGAGGAAAGATTTGTCCTCATGTCCCAGGTCCCAGTGGAGAAAAAGGTAGTTTCTGGTGCATGTCGGTGCTTCCTCCTGGCAGCACTACAGACCTTTTTCCCCCTCTAGTGGCTGGATGGGTGTCACCACCTCATGGAGATGGACCAAACTGATGAGGAATTACAACTCAAAGCGAGAAGATCAACTCGACTAATTAAATTCATAGAATCATTATGGTTGGAAAAGACCTCTGAGATTATCGAGTCCAACCATTAACCCAGCACTGCCATTCAACACCAAGCCATGTGTTTTCTGAACACTTCCAGGGTTTTTTGCCCACTTCCCCGGGCAGCCTGTTCCAATGCTTCATCACCCTTCCAGTGAAGGAATTTTTCTAATATTCAATCTAAATCTCCCCTTTCCCTATTGTTTCCCCTTGTCCTATCATTTGTTACGTAAGAGAAAAGAATGACCCCACCTGCCCACAACCTCCTTTCAGGTAGCTGTAGAGAGCCAGTTCTTGGGGCCAAGAGAACTCAGTCTTCTATGAAGCCTCCTCCCAAAACTTCACACAGCAAGGAGCACCCACGGCCATGAGGGACAACCACCACTCACAGGACTGCTCCAACAAGAAGACCCAGGGTAGGGAATTTGCTACTAATTGAATCTCTCAAACTGGTTTGATTTTATTGATCAAAGAGGAAATGACGCAGAGGTGCAGATATTATCACCTGTAAGAGGCTGACACCCTTGGCTTTAGCTGCATTTTCTGTCCACTTGAAAGTTGGATGTGTCTCACTGCACCAGAGCCGGGTTTTAGCAGGATGAACCAGAGGCAGATTTGGGGTTCACACTCAGCTCTACCTCCAGTACTCAGGTTAGCTGGGAAGCAGGAGGGGAAACTCATGCTGCTTCTGCCTGTCCTGCAGTTCTGGGGTTGATCCAAGATTGCCAGTCCTTCTGTTCTGGGAACAGTGGCTGCTCTGCTCCAAGTCAGTCTGTCAAACTTTATCAGCTTTTCCACATCCACCCAACTCTGCTGTTGCTCTGCCCAGCTACTGTTTTGGCTTCTTTTGAGGCTGGTGGTGATCCTGTGGATGGGCCTCTCCTTTCCCTTTCACAGCACTGCTGGAGCCACCCGAAATGCTCTAAATGACCCCCTCACACAACCTGTATGCAGGGTATGTTCACTCACCCACAAACCAAACAAGCTTTCTTATCCTGTCCTCCCTCCCCCTGAGGGGGGACATCAAACAAGAAGGGGACACAGGTTCTTTGAGGCCTGTGGTCATTCTGTTTTCCAAGCACAAATTAAATAAAATAGCTTATGGGCAGGACAGAAACTACAAAGTCAGCTATTAACTGGGTTCATAAGAACAACAAGCTAATGATGCACCCAAGCTTGGCCCCATGAAGATTTTGCCAAGCTATCTGTCTTAAATTGGAAGTTTGGCCAGACCCAGCATTGCAGAGCTGCTGCCCTGCAAGGTCTGGGAACTCACTCACTTCCACTGGCCTTGGAAACCAGAGCCCTGGTCTGCTTTTGTGAAATGAACTGTTGTTTCAGCAGCAAAGTCAATGTGTATTTGGTCAGAGCTCGGATTTATCATTAAAAAAAACAAACACTGAACTTCCAGCCCTGCTGGACGCTGCCCCAGCATCAAATGCTGGTTTCCTGGCTGCTAACAAACATCGGCACGCTGCGGAATAAGCAGCAAGGGGACTGCTGGAATTCCTGGGATTTACTCCTCTGGGTCCACGCCTCATGGTGAGACCTTAAAATGAGATGTCTGCCCACAGGGAGAGAGGGAGGACATGGCTTGGAAGGGACTCAGATGCATGGAAGTCCACCTGACCACTCACATGCAAGATGTGTTAGGAGAGCTTCTAGCACGTTTACTAAAGACCAAAATTATTTGCAGCCAGATGACTTAATTGTCCCTTCTGACCTTACAAATATCTGTATAAACAAGGGTTTATTCTCACACACTCTGGGGAACAAATCCAGCTGGACAGGAGGGACCTGGGAGAACAGATCCTCCAGCAATGTAAATAGTGTTATGCTGATTTACACCAACCGATGACTTTGTCTAATGGCTGATGTGATTCACAAGCTCCCAAACAGAAAGAGATGTTCAACTCATCCATGTACATTTTCCAGCCCTGCTTAGGCTCCCTCAAAGCTTTCTGACCTCCTTTTTCCCAGGGGCTATTTCATTCTATATCAGCAAAGTCACAAATTGAAGCCGCTCGTGCACAAGACGATAACACTCCCCACGAAAAGCTCTGTCCTCAACAGAAGGCTCCAAGTGAGTAACACTGTTTTTAATACACACGTGCTGAAAAGCCACAAATAATTGGTGACAGCTGTGGGAGGACAGTTGTACTATTAGCTTTTCCTGCAGGGATTTGCAATAAGTACTTAAGGGTGGGCTCAGGCCACAGTGTTTGGAGCCAGATCCTGGATCACGTCCCACATTCACCAAGTGCAGATTCCAGACTGTGAACACACCCTGCTCCAGGATTCAAACCTAAAACCTGCCTGTAAGGCTTTTCATTTCACCCAGTGCACGTTTAGGGGCTTCACTATGACATCTGACTCACATCCTAAGCTTTCCCAAGTCCTTAGGGATGCAGCCAGTGCTCTGGTTTAGCTCATCAGCTATGGAGCAGCTCAGCTGGATAGTTTGGCTCCAGATCCAAATTTCACCAAACTCCAGGACAGTTTCAATCTGTTTTCTGCCATTCAGGACAGGAGCCACACTTACCCCTGGCATGTATTCAACAAAGATAGACAGTTTCTTCTCCTCAGGGTCCCTCAGGCACCCGTAGTACTGCACTATCCTGTCGTGACGGAGAGTCTTCAGCAGCTGGATCTCACATTCTAAAGCATTCACCTCCTGTAACAAAACAGACTTCCTTGTGAAAGGGAATGATAACTTTGGGAATATTATCCAAATACTGCTCGATGCTGAGCACACTTTTTGCAGCCCCTGTGAAGCTGCCTGTGAAGAAACTGGCCACGGGAGGCTCAGAAATGAGGAGCACTGCCTTAAGAGAAAGGTAGGGAGAGAGACACATGGGATACACAAGGGCTTGGCTTTGAGACAGGTTTACTTATTATTACTTGTGTTCACAGAGCTTTTCTGAAAAGGTGTCAATGAAGTCCCCAGCAAAGCTAATGCAGGGCCCAGAGAGGAAAGAAGGTGAAGGGGAGCAAGAAGGACAAAACTAAGGAAGAGCAGTCACACCTGCAAGAGATAATACCTGAGACAGAGCAGGCCAATGTGACCAAGGGACTAAGAGGCAGAGAAGTCACCAGAGCACCCTGACTGGTGCCACAAGCCATTCAGGACCACTCTAGAGAGGGAAAACAACACCCTGCCTCCACACACCGCCTTCCATCAGGGACACAGACACCTCCACCCTCAGCCTCCAGCCCACAACTCCCCAAGGTGCTGCAGAACAGAGTCCTGCCCTCATACTCACTTTACTTGTCTCTTGGCTGTCAGGATCAAAAGGCACCTGCTTCACCGACAGCTCCCGCCCAGTGTCAGCATCGTAGCAGAGATAAACCTCCCCAAAAGCTCCTCTTCCCAGCAGCTTCCCCAGCCTCCAGTTCACAGGTGCCTGCAGGGCTGTACAAGAGAGGAGAGGGTTCAAAGAGTGCATCAGGGAGGCTTCAGCATCCTCCTGACCCGACAGTGTGCAGGGCAGTCAGTGAGCCACCCTCTCCCAGGGGCACCAGGACAAACCAGTTTTAGCACTGGTGCTACTGGCATGGGGGGATGTCTCCCAGTCTGCACTAGCATTAAGCAGTATCAAGTCCTAAAAAAGTCCTATTTCATTAAGAGTCCTTCCTCCAAAACCTGTTTTCTTAGCCAATGTTGGACTTGCCCCTCTGCTCTGGGACTGGTTAGCGAGATACAGCACGGCTGAGCAGCAACCCAGGCAGGGACCAGTAAGGACTTTTTTTATCTCACTGCTCATTCCTAGGTTGTTATTTATCACTGAACGGGCCCCAAATGCACCAAGTTCTACAGTATGGGCAGTTTTGCAACGGCAGAGGAGCCTGGGTGCTGGGGTGACAGCAATGTAATCCAAGGAGTGGAGCCTCTGGATGCATTTGCTCCCACAACCCAAGTCTCCCCGAAGCTTCTGCTGCGTGAGCGCACTGACAGTCCAACACACAAGCAATTTTCTGCAACCCAGCAAGTGCTGAACACCAGCTGACACCATCAAGGCCAAGGTAAGATACAGCGTGTTGTATTAAATCATTCTCATTGAGACACAAGCTCATGTAATGTGTCTTGTGCTGGGGGTGCATTCACCCATGGTTGACTCAGCTGCTCATGGTAACTCAGCAGGTCTTGGTAACTCAGTTTTGTGTTGAGGCTCAGCTCTGCTGAGACCTCAGGCACTCGGGGCTTTGTTTCACTCACAGTTCCTTGCTTTTGTAGGGGAGGTGCTGAAGACCTGCAGACCCTTCTCGCAATTGTTCCAACATTTGGGCCTGTACTCATCGTACTGCAGCGTGCTGAGCTTGCTGTCCCCGTTAAAACTCTTGGTTCTGCTGGAGGGGACGAGCTGGAACAGGTTCTCCTGCGGGAAGTAACTCCTGGGGAAAGTCCTCCGACCTGCAGGAGAAAAGGGGGAAAGTTACAGCAAGAACACACACACCAGGTTGGACCTACCTGTCACCACCTCCTCACGTCACTGCCCAGATCCTCGCCTCTTCAAATTAAACAAAACAACTGTAATTAAACTGAAGCAAAGCCCTGCAAACATTTTAAATTCAATTTAAGAGTTGATAGCAGCAGGAATTACATCTAATGCAGATGCTTCCAGAGGGGTTTGCAAGAGTTTAATTACATTAGGGGGTTTGTTGGCTGTTAATCACAATTAAACATTGAACAGGCAGGGATTTACATTGCAAATTATCCTTGCCATCCCCTAAGTCCATAATGCAAATGACCACACAGCAGTGCCAGACCTGCTTTCACAGGGGTGTCAGTGAGAGATGAAGTTCATTCTGGAAGGCTCAATATGCTCTCTGCATGTACTCACTACTTTTTTCCCAAGGGAGTTTGATTCTAATTCAGTTTGGCCTCCCACCACTTGCAGTCTCACACAGTGAAGGAAAGAGCAGGAAAAAGGTGATGGAGTGGTCCCCAAAGCTCAGAACTCAACAGCTGAAAACAGAGAACAGAACAGAAACTGCTACCCTGAAATTGCTCAGGGATTTCCAACAGCTCTGTGAGAAACCTGCTGTAAAGGTCACAAAACAGCATCCTCAAAACCAAGCAATTTAGGGAAACTGAAAGGCTGATTTTGCCAGGGATGAGAAATGCCAATCATCCACAGGGCTAAGCTAAAACTGCAGGTGTGAGCAGCGGAGGAGCTGAGCACTGACTTTCCTACAGGCCATAGATGCTCAGCACTTCCCAAGAGCAGAGCCCCAGGGTCGCACGGAGGATGCTCCTCAGAACACACAAGTGAATCCCAAATTCCTTGGCGGTTCTCCCTTTATTAGAAACCGCTCCTTCCCAGGTCTTTCCAGTCCTAAGCACTGTCACAAGCCATCAAGACCCTGGACCGATCATCCACCCTTTTCTTACCGTCACTGTAGTCCTTGCGGCTTTGGGAGAGGTGGTACTGCCTCGGGAACGTCCCACCCTTCCCAAACCTCTCGCAGAACGGGATGTCGAAATCTGACAGGAGGGAAGAAGACACACATGTTTCCGAGATCAGCTCCGTATCAAATGCCCAGAGTGTTTCTTACGGGAAACACTGAATTACGGGGAAGAACAAGGTGACAAGCTGTTCATTTACACAACCCTACGTTCCCCAAGGCTCTCTCTGAAATCGCTCCACAGTCACACACTCCTCAGTGGAAAATCAGGGTTAGACACACTGTTCTTGGTGCCCCTAAAGCAGAGGTTTAACTGCTGACTTTATGGACCACACTGTTCAAGTGAAAGGCAGAGGATTGACATGAACCATGCCTAGTTTCCAAGGCAGAGCACTAAACGTCTTATTTGCACATGGAAAACACAAAAATCAGTGTGGATACAGAACTGCCAGGCAGGGTCAGGCCTAGATCCATATATCCAAAACCTTTGCTCTGAAGTCAGTTATTCCCAGGGAAATGCAGAAATCCAGCACTTGTGCCAATACCAGACAATCTCTCCCCTCTTTCTTCTCAGATGCGACTCCTCACCTCTGAAAGCCAGGGACCAATTTATACCTCCAGAGCTCCAAACTTTTATATTTACTTTGATTAAATGCTAGAAAGATAGAATATACAGAAGGGATTAAAGACCATCAGAGTTCAAAAATGGGATGATGAGAGAGATGGATGGACATAAGAGATAAGGACATATTTTTTTAATAAAAGCCACAGCACAGGAAGCCATTGCTGGTAGCACCAAATAACTTGAGATTAAAACATCCCTCCCCATCTTTCACCTGCTGTTTTTCCTCCCTCCAGTTCTAATGACACAGCCCGTTCTGATTGTTTGTTTGTCTTAGCCTGGGGCCAGCAGCCGCTCCTTGGAGGCCGTTCCTGGCCTCTGCTGCTCTTCAGCATGATTGCCAAAAGGAGCACATAATGGCTGAAATATGGTCAGCAGGAGAAGCAACAAGGACAGGGCAAGAGGTTCTCGGGGAGCCACGTGTAAGCGATGGTGCCCAGTGGTGTCTCAAAGCAAAATGCCACGGGGGGAGCATTAAAAACCTTCTGCAACGTGGCCTGACTGCAGCTTCATCTCTGCAGTTCAATCTAGAAATCCTGCCTCAGGCCAGGAATGAGTTCTCCTGCCACAGGCTGGCTGCCATTTGCTCATTTTTAATAGTGCAAGTCATTACAATATTGCAGAGTTTCCATGATTTAACCAGCTGGATGTTTATAAGTGATTAAGCAGTAACTTATGATCCCTGCAAGTTACCAGTAGGTTTCTCTAACAGCATTTGCACTATTGCAGATTATTGTTAATGCAAGCAGAAGAGGTGTAACTCCCTAAAGAGAGTTGAGTTTTGCTCTGTAGGAAGTGGAGATCCTGAAGGGACAGCTCCCAGGTACTATCAGAGACAAAAGGTGATCCCACAAGGCTGTTTGCATCTTGCCAGCACCTCACAGTTTTCTCCAAACAGAAGAGCACAGCCCTCTCAGCAACATCCTCCAACACAGATCTCTCAAAAGCTTTACTTGCTTATATTCATCTACTTCATGGCCTTTGCTGCCCAGTTTGGACTGTTGTTGCTGTAAATTGATACCCAAATCAGGGCCCAAAGGTTCTTCAGTGCTACCAGCGCTGCTGCAGAGTCAAGAAGGGTTAATGAAGACAAGAGCAGCCCTGCCTGTGTTTGGTGCTCTGGGTCTTTTAATTTTAGAGAACATTCAGGTTTGATCATTGCAGGGTCAATTCTGAAGTGTAACCTAAGCAGTGAGGTTGGTTTGCTTGATTGCTTTTAATTACTTTCCATGCAGTGCCATCTCTCTAATAGCCTTTATCCAGCCTCTTCACTACATACTTTTTATACTTTTAAGCAAATATAAACCACCAAGAGTGCTTACCCATGCAATCAAGGCTGTCTTTGGGATGGCTCTTCCTTCCAGGAACAGGGGTTTGCGTAAAAGGAGGGCTACAAAGAGATGAAAAAAAAAAGCAGGATACATTTATTATATCAGAAAGGCTATGGAATTAATAGACTTTAGAAAGGACAGGCTAAACCACAAGCTGCACTGATCACTGAGCTCCCATCCTCATCCTGCACAAAAATGAAGATTGGTTTTCTCTGCTGGATCACAGCGTGTTCCTGTGGCAAACAAAAGAGATGCTGCAAAAACCACAGTCACCAAGCTGAAAAGAAGCAGCCAAAGATAAGAACACCTGTGCACAAGGCTGCACAAGAGGGCTGCAGATTTCTCTGCCCTCAGCATCAAGTATTCAACTGTGCAACTCTGCTTTCTATGAGCATTGTTCAGTTGCTGCAGATGTGCACACTAAAGTCCTTCAGTCATGCCCAATTCATGCAGGTTTCCCCTTTTCTGCAACATCATCCCCCACCCTCCTCTCACAGGAGGGTCTGTACCACCACTGGGAACATGCACACTCCCAGGAGACCAGGAGGGAGAGTGCAGGATTGGTGCCTCAAGGCTCAAGGTCTTTGAAGTACACTGAGAGATGATAAAGCACTGCAAGGGGACCTCAGCAATCCCAGTTTCACCCCAGGCTCTGTAAGGGCCAACAGGGTGATCTGGACACATTGCTTTGCCACTTTCCCTTTCAACAATATGGGCACAGAGCAGAAATCAGCTTTGTGAAGTGCTCTGAAACCTGCTCATGTCAAAGTTGATCACTGTTATGGCAGCGAGGAATTTGTTGTGCTGTTCCTGAGCCTCAGCCTGGCCACCATGCCTGGTAACTCACTCTGCTCCCTGGAGCTGATGCCATTCCAAGCAATCAGCTGCAAGGGCTCAGCTATATCTTTGCAGGAATAGTCTTACTCCTCTTTCTGCCTTGGAATAACACAGCCCTTCATGGGCCTTTTCCAGCTCCTAGACCCCATGACTGGACACACCTGCCTGCTTTGCATGTGAAATCAAGCCGTACAACCCTCTCACAAAGACGTCCAAAACTCTTCTCTCAGTTCCCAATGCAAGTGTTACAACCAGCCCACACTCCTTCTGCTGCTCTTCCCGGCAAAGTCTGTGCAAAAGCAAAGCTGGGGCAGAGAGGCCGGGAGCACAAGGAATCCAGCTTCGATACAGCCGTAACAATGAGCAAATACATCACAGGAAATTATTAAAAGCCACAAAAAGGAAATGGACCACGATGCTGAGACAGATCCAAAGTGCACAGAGCAGCAAACCCGAAGCACGCTACACAATCAACCCGACGCAGACCTGCTGGAACACAGCCCTGGTGCTGTATGGCAAAAGCAACAGCGGAAAAAAATAGAAAATCTTTGATGCAGACGGAAAAAAATAATATACCGCTTCCCAAAAGGACACTGTGTCTTATGCACAGCAGCAAACATACAGTTTCTGTGCACGTGTGAGTCGGGACCGAGCAGCCGCATCAGCCATTGAGTCCCAGCCCGGGTTAGTACAACGTGTCCCAGTTGCTTCCTGCTGAGAAGCTAAACTTAGTTATTGCTTGTCTGGTGTCCTCAGCACCTTGACTGACACGTCTGTGGCTGCTGGCAGTGCACAGGGGCTGCTGAGTTTACCAGTGGTCAATGGAGAGCAGACAGCATGCTCGGGGAGGAGGGGACATGGAAAGGCTAATGGAGTATTGACCTGGTGACTGCAGAGAGCCAGAGGAGTGGGAGTTACTGTGAGGGTGGGAAGGCCCTGACAGAGATTGCCCAGAGAAGCTGTGGCTGCCCCATCCTTGAATTGTTCAAGGCCAGGTTGGACAGGGCTCGGAGCAACCTGGTCTAGTGGAAAGTGTCCCTGCCCATGGCAGGGGGGTGGAATGAGATGATCTTTAAGGTCCCTTCCAACCCAAACCATTGCATAATTCTATAAGAGGGGTCTGACAAAAAAAAAAAAATAAAACCTGGGCACACAAAGCCAGGCTGTCTTTGTCCAGCTCAGATTACTGCAACTCAAATCATACCATGCCACAGACATCTGTGCTAGGATCTGGTTTTCAGCGTTAAAGATAAATTTGTTTCGCTCAGGTGCATCCTCACCTCAGCAGAAATCTCAGGGGATGCCGCTGACTCCACTTCTCTCCCGCTGTGGAGCAGAGGCTGCATTTCAGCTGGTGAATGTGATGGGAAGTACAACTCACCTGTCCACAGATCTGTCCAGCGACTGGCAGCTCCCAGACAGCGAGTCGTCAGGGCTGATGAAAGCTTCAAGCATCTGACAGTGAAAGAAAAGGGGAAACAATGAAACCATGCACTGCAGCTCCTCAAGCTCCAGAACCTCTGCAGAATCAACAAAGCTGCTCCAAAGCCAGCTGATTTACACCAGCTGATGCCAGTCCCATAGGGATGAGATTCAGTCTAACAAAAATTTTCTTCCCAGTGGAAATCCATTCATGATGCCCTCTCTGCATTTTTTGTTCTTTCCAACTGCTGTTTGCCAGAAGGAAAACTGAGGCAAAGATAATTAGCACCCTGATGCTCAAAGCATGAGGAGAAGTCAATGAGATTCAAAGTATAACAATAATACTGAAAGAAAATATGCATCAGGACACAAAAGATGTGCCCAAGGCCAAGTGGATATTGTGTACCACAGCCAGGACTGCAGCCCTGGACTCCTGACTTCCCGAGCTGCCCTGGCACACGAGCCCAGCCTTCGTCTCCACTGATAAGCGCAGCATCATCAGGGTTTTTGGCCGGAGGAACCGGCTTGGCTCTCACCAGCCCAGTGAGTCAAAAGCTGCATTTGTGTTGCTTCCTGGATGAGACATTGTACTGGCCGGGGTTATTTATAGCTGGTTAGTAACAATAGAGGGTTTGTGTGGAGTGGTAAACCCAGGGGCTGTGTGCACTTCCACATGGAGCAGAGCCTGCTCCGGGCCACGCTGTGCTGCAGGCAGCACCACGCTCCCTCCTGGCTGCACACACTGCTCAGCCCTGCTCCACAGCCAGCCCAGCTCACTCCTGGGAAACCTGAGCAACGAGGGTTAAACACCACGTGGAGTCACATTTTGCTGGTTCCCACATCGCTCCTCCTTCCCCAACAGCCTCCCTTTCCATGTGCTGTTCCTGTAAGACCTCCTCGACTGGTTGTCACAACAGCTCCTGTTGTTTTGGCTGGACAGGCCCAACTGCAAAGTGCAATTTTTCTCTGCTTCCCAGTTTTTAAACCAAAACCCTCACCCTTCAAAATGCACTAGCCAAAGAGGATGAAGACCTCTCCTAAAACCCACTCCCTGCCTCTGCCAGCCATGCCAGGTCTCTCCCAGCAGCTAATGCTGAAACGCTAATTTCTCAAAAGCATAAAATTGGGAATTGGAGCATGCTCCATACTCAGCCTCTGTTCATCTGCCAGGCTGGTCTCAAGACCACAGTTACATCACAGGCTTGCACAGGGGCATTCCCCAATGGGCAGCAAGCTCCAGCTTGTAAGTGGTTTTCTGCGAGGCACGTATAGAAGCAGCAGTACAAGGACATTCTGAGGGCAAAGCCCATATAGGGAAAAGCATGGCTGCTCAATGAGAAAAGGAAGAAAAACCCAAACCACCCTCAAACTCCCCTTTTCCTGCATTTAGTTCACCAGAGAAGGGCTGCAAGCCACCCACAGTGTGATGCTGGGGAAAAGCAAGGAGAGCATCTGGGAACCTTCATCAGGAGCAGGCTCAGGCCTCTGAACTGATGGAGTTCCATGAACAGCTGGAGGAGCTGTGCTGATTTACACCCAAAGGGGGTCATGGGGACCCTCCTCCTGCATGCACACACTTTGTCTTAATCCTCCCTAACGTGTTTGGAAGGCATGTGAAAACAACAGAAAGCCAACTTCTGGCTGCGGGGAGCACACGATACATCTGCACTCTGACGCTGCCAAGACTCACCCAGAGTGACTGCTCCTTATTTTATTAATGGCTGTAAAATAAATCGTTGCAAACACAAACTTTGCCATGGAAACACTGGCACAGCCTGCACACAAAAGTGGAGCCAGTGGGTGCTACTGGAGTGTAGGGAATGCACATCTCCCCAGGCCAGCACAGCACCCTGACAGAGTGAACTTAGTGCCTTCCCAAAGTCCCTCCACGTCCCTCCTGCAAATTGTGGATCTTGACCCTGCACTCCCAAGAGCTTAACGGGAATGACTTATGTTCCCAGCTGACTTCAGAGGATCCACAGCTCTTCAGAGCTATAGCTATAGCTTGAGCAGGGATGGAGAGAGAGGGAGGTGTAAGCTGCTCCCCTCCAGTCCTTTAACACTGCAGAGTTTTCCCCACCATGGGCACCAGTTTGGCTGGAGGAAGGGGTACTGCTCATCACTGAAGAGCTTGCTGCTCTTTTAATACTGAGAGTCTGGAATACACAAACTCCTTATTCAAAGAGGAAAAAAACTGTAAATATATGGGAGAGGAACAGAGACACAAAACCACAGAGAGAGGCTGTGGGCAGAGCCAAGAACTGTAACTGGAGCTCAGGCAGAAACTGCACATGGGAAGCAGCAGGAGCTGCTGATATCCCCAGGCTGTTGCAATCACAGGCAATCGGTTGCTTGGCACATTCCCTCATGGTCCACGGGATCTGGGAACGCTGCAGCCACGATGGCCTGGCAGCTGGTGCACACGTGTGTCCCAGATCCATGCTCCTCCAGAGCTACCTGAGGTGCCCAAGCACATTTGCCATCCCCACTGCAGCTGGCTCCCAGGGTTCCTGGAAATCGGGCCTGCCATTTCTCAGGCATGCCAAGCCTGGGGGCACCCATTCCTGGAAAAAGCTGAGCCCCATGCACAGGCCCCGCTGGGGATGTAACGGTGGGAACAGCTCCCACAGCTCAGCCTCCCTCGCTCCCAACGCCGGCCCAGTTTAACCCACACAGCCCAGCCCCACTCACGTTCTGGTCCATGGTCTCGGGGATGAACTCGCCCTCGCTGTTGATGCTGGTGTAGGATCCTTGGCGGGCGATCTGCTGCTGCTCCTCAGGAACGCTGCCCGGGGGCGGAGAGCTCCGGCCAGTGTGCAGAGAGCCTGGGACACGGGAAAGGCACAGGTCAAAGGGGGGACCCGCCAACCCAAGTCCTTCCAGCGATCACAGACCTCCTGGAGATGCTGCTGGGTTTGAGTTTGTGTGGATGGGAATGGAGGATCTAGAGGTGTGATACTGTTTATGGGCATCCTGCAAAGCTTTTGCAACACAAAGAGTTTGTTGCTACGGGGCCACACAACATGTAGCAGACTTGACTTCAACCCACCCTGGATGCTAAGAGCTGTACACCGTATCCAGGCGTGCTGCTGATGCCAGAAAGGAAAGGGCTCCAGAGTTTTGTTGTGATACAATCACTCAATCTCAAAGCAAACCACAAACTCCAAACCCACCTCCCCTCTTTGACCTCCGGGCCATTTTCTCCCTGGAGCACGTCACTGCCTTGTTCAGCAATCTGGGAAACAGCCCAGGTGAACTGAGTGCAACATCCCTTCAACACTTCTTATACAGAAAACAATTTGTGCTCAAACACCCTTCTCTACCCTTTCCCAACATGAAATTAAAGATGAAGGAAAACCAGCTTCCATTTTGCACCTGGGAGAGAACTCTGCAGCTTGCTTACGTAGATGACCCATTCTCCCCCCTTATTCCCCAGATCCACTCTGATTCCTTGTGCCTTTTTAGGTTTTAGGCCTTGTTGCCCTTGCTTGGCCCAGATGCACAGGCCTGGCTCCACTTTCTCTCTGTGGTTACTCCCCTCCATCCCTGCTCTGTCATCACCTCATGGCAAGGAATTGCTGACGGAGATCCGTGCTGCTCCGTGCTGGAGCCTTAGCTGGTCGGCATTGTGCAACATGAGCTTTCAAACAACACAACAACTTGTTTTTAAGCAGACTTCTAAAAAGCACACATCCTTGAGGAGTTAGGAGTCACATGGAGATGTGTTTCCTTACACTTCATATCCATTTTTGCGGTGCTCTTGCCAAATCTTTGGTTCGTTGCTACCATTTGGTAACAACATGTCCAGGCTAAGCACAAGATAAAGGTGCCGGGAAGGGGCCTATCCCATCAGGAAAAGTCAACACTGATCAATCAACACAACTTCTCCCTCTTCAGCTGCTATTCTGCATCACAGTTACTGTGCCAGGTGGATCTCTGGCACAAATACATCAGCGTGATCAACACCACAAATCCGAGTCCCCACCTTTCACTTAAGCAGATACACATCAGGAGCTGCTAATGTTAACATTGTCACACAAGCACTAAAGATCACTAAATCAGGCTTGCTGGATTTACACCAAACACACAGATATTTCTGTCCCATGATACATCTTCCTTCAGACTCCTTCTCAGATTGTAAAAATGAAAATCATATGGCTTTGAGTTACTTTTTTTTCTTCTTCCTATTTTCTCCTTCAGAGATTTCCTGCAGGATAAGAACACAGTGAAAAAACTCCAACTGAAGTAATGCCAAGATCAAGGGGAGAGAATCTCTCAAGTGCTGCAGTGCTCATAAGGAACTGGCTTTCCACCAGCCCTAAAAACAAAACCAGTTGGGAAGTACGGCATCCTCTCTTGGAAGATAAATAAACAAACGTTTAACCATTGAGCAGTTCGGGCACCCTGAATAAATCACTGCATCAGCATCCCCTCCTTTGCTTGGCAGATGCCAATCTGGAGTGCAGCATAAGGACTTTTTTGGGTGGCTCTTGCTCCAAAAAGCTGGCAGAGGATTTGGCGCGGTGTAACAGCTTCATCTTAGCTCTGCTGAGCATTTCTGTTACTGCTGTGATATGTGGGGGTCTGCTCATGAACTGTTGGGTTCTCTTGCTCCAATAACTAATTTACTGCCCAGAAAGTCTTTGGTATTACAAAGAGCTGTACAAGCCCTGTTTGATTTTGAACCCAGGCAGTTAAATGAGATTTATCACAAGCACAAGGTCTTTGCATGATCTCACATTAAGCCTTAGCCTGGAACAACTACTCCCAGCCATAGGTTAGTTGTGTTCGACCTTCCAGAGTCACATTTCCTGCCAAAAAACTTTAAAAGGGGATAAGACACCAGCTATTTCCCAGCAGGTGAGGAAGTTAAACAAAATGCTTAGGCTTTTGCATGCCTGGAAACTGCTGGATTGAACCAGAGCCCTTTCAGCCAGGCTGTTTGGGCAGAAGTGCTGCCCAAAGTAATTTATGCAGCTTCACACCACCAGGAGCACTGGCTGCTGCTGCTTTGCATCCAGGCATGCCCATCCACTTTGAAGGAACACAGGAGGTGGTGGGAGCAGAGTCCCAGAGCTTAAGGTTGATTCCCTGTTCCAGCCCTATCCTGTCCTGTTAAAAAAACCTCGGGCAATGCCAGTGCTGCTGGTGGAGTGAGGAAATGGAAAATAGGGTTCAGGCAGAGAGAGAGAGAGAGAGAGAGAGAGTGCAACAGTGGTACTCAGTGGGAGACTCAATTCATAGTGGGGGCAACACTAGGCTGATTGGATATACTGGATAGCTTTACCCACCCTGAGGCAGAGGAAGAAACAGACACAAGCCCAGACGTGCCTGTTTGACACATCATGGATGCTCTTCACACTTGACCTAACACTCAAGAAACAGCAGCAGCACCAGGCAGAGAGAGGAGGCCCCCAGGGGATTGTCCTGGGATGTACAGGATCACACAGCAGCTCCACTGGGGATGGGGTAGGCTGTGAGGCACTTCTTTAAAGGCCCATTGCTGGTCAGATCTCAGCAGCTCTGTTTAGGATTCCTGAACTCAGGGAAACTCTGCAGATTGGCACTGCTTGAGTATCTGACCTCGGTTACCCTTTGGAGCAAGGTGCTCTGGGCAGGGATTCCTGCTCCACATGTTGCACACACTAATGTAAAGCCATATATTAGAGACTAGAGCACAGCATGTCCCGAGGAGGGAGAACCAGGACAGCACGGAGACTCACAGTCACTGCTGGCACCCACTGGGGTCTTTCATGTTCCCTTCTGTTATTTTTATTTAGTAAGTGCCTTTCATGCAGTGTGTGCAGAGCTCGTGGTGCTGCACGTACAGCCAGTTCCCCCGTGCCAGGCTTGGCTTACCTCCGCCTCCGCATTCCCTGGCTTCATCCTTCCCCTGCTCTTCCCAAAACTTCATCCATTACTGATCAGCATCAAGAAGGGAAGAGAAGCCCCTTAAAAGTCAGGGCTGGGGAGGGTTTGCTGGCAGCTGCCTGAGCTCACAGCTGCAGCCAGGGAGAGCCCAGCCCTGGATGACGTTGCCGTGGAGCCAGACGAGGAACATGACGTCAAGATGTGCCGGTGTTCCTCTGAGCCCTGGCAGAAACTCAGGGATCAAGAGGAAGAGAGAAACCTGCAAGACACTTCTCACTCTCAGACTGTCAAGGGGAGGTGTGAGCAGGCGGACCAAATCTCCTTCATTTCTTCTTTTTCAGTGGGACCCCTACAAGTCCCATCCTCTGGGGATGAATTACTGTACCCTGATTTAAGGCAAATTTAGGGCACTTCTATACTAATAAGCAGGACAGAACTTATTTTCTAGCCCTAAAGCAGCTGGCATGATGCACACAGCTAAATTTTCCACCCCTTCTCAAAATGAGGTCTCATCCATCCCAGCTCCTGCAACGCTCCTGGTCTGGAGAGGGCTGGCAGGCACACAATGCCACAGCTCAGCAGCCTGGTTTGCCACCATGGAAAACCACAGGAAAAAAAAAGAAAAACAATAAAGCTTCTGGCAAAGGTTTCCACTGGAATGGCGGTTCTGGAATGGGGCTCCTAAATAATTTGTGAATAATGTTCTGAAACACGTAGTTCCTCGAAGTAAATAAAAACAACCCTCAGTTATCTCAAAATAGAGAACTCAGAAGGATTTTAGTCCAAGTTTCCCGGCACTTGGACGAACATTTGCAGATGCTGGTCACCAAAAGACTGGAAGGGGATTTCCACTGAAAAGGTTCATGCGGAAAAAAATAAAAAGAAAATACTGACTTTGCATAAGGTTTTTCAGGGACATGGAGTGAAGACATTTTCTGCCCAGCAGAAGCAAAAATAGCCAAATCTCCCCCAGAACATCTACATCCCTTCCAACACACTTGTGCCAATAACATAGAGTTTTATTATTTTTTGCTGCTGTTTACATGGCAGAGTCAGCAGAAAAACATGAGACATCTCAGAAACATGAAGAACATGACCCTGAACTACCTTTTATTATAAAGTCAGTTTGAATCTCCCTTTAAATGTTGTTTCAAGAGAAAAGCTGAACTGAGTTAAGATCGTCTCTTGACAGCAACCACTTTGATGACAGCAGAAGATAAACACTGTGAAATACCTTGCAACTGCAAGTGAAGAATAGTTTCTCCTAAAGAATTCCCAACCTCTTAGGCTGTCTTTTGACAATCCACCAAGTTCAGTGAAATCCCTGCTTCAGGAAAGCAAAACACAGGATCATATTTGTCTGTCTATTCCCTGACATTCAGTTTAATGCTCCATTTGAAACACTGCTCTCCCTTTCAGCTCGCTGGAGTTCCTATCCAGCTGCTGGATTACCCAGGTCTGACTCAGGAGGTCAAAAATTGCATCTGCTGGATTGTGAACATCTCCTAAACAGAGCTGCAGCAGCTTCATACAGACCCCAGACAACTCCAAAGAGAAAAGTAACCCTCTGTTATCATGCAGAGGGTTTGCTGCAACCTCTTTGCAAACTAACAGCAAGACTGATGGTTTACGTGGAAAAAAACCCAGAGGGATAACTGTAACATGGGCTGGTTACCTTTGCTTCCTGACTATGTAACAGTGCTGAGGACACTGGTTTTGGTGCATTAGCAACTGGCCTGGAGAGCCTCCTGAAGATTCCAACATTAACACACACTGTGTCCTACATTTAGTGCTGCCCAGTCCTCCTCCTCTGTTAGATTAAACCAGCATGTTATGCTCATTCCTCCACTCTGCTATTCAGGCATTCCCTCAAAACCCATCTGTACCTCAGGCTCTCACCCTTGCAGAACTGACATCTCATCCTTTGTCTGCCTTGTCTGAGCTCAGGATGTTCTCAAAGGAAGTGACATCTCACAGTCAGTGGTGCAGAGCTGGTTGGTGATTCTCCTGGTACTACAGCAGCTCCAAAACAGTAAGCAAAGGCCAAAACATGGCACAAAAGTTAGCAGGAAAGTCTTAACTTTGCAAGAACTCATCTTCTCCCTAGCACAGCTACACGTGGAATCAATTCTGCCCATCACGCTTGGCTCACACATCAGTGACAGCTCCCAGTGCCACAGCTCTCCACTGGCTTACATTAACAGCTTAACAAGTGCCAAAAAAAAAAAAAGAGCAGCAGAGATGTTTTGCTCAAGCACAGTTTCTGCTGAGGCTCTGTGCCTTACCATGTATTTGTGTGTGCATTTCACTCAGGGTCATCTAAGTGACTCTGCCAGACTCTGGGCAAACTCTCAAGAGCCATGTGAGCTAGGAAAAAAAAAACCAATAGAAAAAGACAACCCTGGTACATCCAAACACCAGGCCCAAAGAGAGCTCTTGTACATGTACCACCCACCCCTGGCTTCAGTAAGAGCTGGGCATGGCTGCACAAGGGGTATGCTGGACCTACCCTGGAAGAACATTTCCTATATATCATTGTCTGAGATGCAGCAAACCACAGGATATGTTATCAAGGCAGCACAGGCTATGAAACAGAGAAAGGGCAAATCCTCGGAGAAAAACACTCTTTTGTTGCACAGAGAAAAGAGTTTGGAAGCGTTTACTGCCATATAAATACAGAGGATCTTTGGAGGGTGAAGTATTTCTTCATGTACATTTGTATAGGAGGCCCCACTTTATCCAAGGCTATAATTTCTATAGTTGGTGAATAACTGCATGAAAACAATAAGGATCTGTAGAAATTTCCCTGCAACCTGCATCCACAGATATGGCAGAGAACATTCACTGTGTGAAAAAATCATTAATCCTGCCTATAGGTTGTAATATGAATAAATATATCCCTGCTACATAGTTCTGTGTGCTGCTTTACCAGTTCTGCACAAGGCACCCTGCTCTGCACAAAATCCTCCAAGGTTCTTCACACAAAGCTCCCACAGCCAACTGATCAACAGGACTTGTCATTTAAACAAGCTCAGAGTATTTCAGAAAGCAAGAAGAGCATAAACTCAAGCACAGAAAACCAAAGAAAGCACCAATCTACTCCCTGCAGGGCTGCAAGAAGAGACCAGGCATTTGTTGCCAGCCTGGCTTCAAGGGCTGCAGGTACCTACTCCCAGCACCTCTGAAGGAAAGGGATGCTCCCTTTCCTCTGGAATGTGACCACCACAACACACTGCACACATCCATTCTCCTGAGACAACAAAACCAGCTACCACAGACGTCATTTCCCCAACAAGAACAGAGTGGTGGCATGGGGGACACACATTTGGTCCTTTTGGACACGCTGAAGCTGGTCCCAGCCCAGGAGCCAAGGAGCCCAAGCCCATTAAGACAAATGACTCTGCCAGCTGGGAAAGGGGGAGATAACACCAAGAGAACAACAGCCCATGGTTAAAGGAATAACTGTGTCAAGGTCCCAAACATCCTTGGCTTTCTGTAGATTCTCTCTCTTCGTTTTGATAAAGCTCAGTGCCACCAAATTCATTGGAAATTTTTATCCCTGCATTTCCCCCTGCCAAATCACACCCTAGGTCCCCTGTTCTCCTCACTTTCGTGCCCAACGTGACTCTGCTCAGCACAGCCTGTGCAGCTTGTAGTGTCCTACTCAGGCTGAGGATGAGCAGCAACTGCACTGAGTCACTGGTGGGGGACATCAGGGTGGCCATCCAGACTGTGACACCCACAGGGTTGTGACAAAAAGGAGAAAGGGGGTGGTGGCCAGTAACAGCACAACACACCCCGCAGAGCGCTGCGTTTCACCCACCTGTTGAGTATTTGCGCGTCCTCTCAGAGTCCTTGTACAGGGATCCCATGATATCACCCATGGACCTGGAGATCCTCATTTCATGCTGTTTGCTGTTGTTTGGCTGGAGGAGCTGGTAATCAGACAAAGAGAATGATCAGACTTGGCCAGAGCCCTGTGGACACACCATGTGAAACCCTCTGTTTGGTTCCCCGTGACCCTATTACCCAAGAACTATTGAAAAAAAAAAAAAAAGAAAGAAGACACACACGTAATCTGGAGTGATCCAAAAACCATTCACAAACAATTCACATCTGTTTTTAAAAGTCTAGTAAGATTAAGCTCCAATAGATAATGGTAAATGCAGATATTTGACATAAAAGACTGTTCCTGCACTGCGTTATCTCCAGAAAGATACAGAGACTGATCCCTGGCCTGAAAACACTTGGGACCCCAAAATCAGAACCTCTCCTCCATGCTCCCTAGACTCCAGTGGCAGCCTCAGCACTGCAGGAGGTTCCTCTGTAACAGGGCAGAGGAACAGAGAGTGGAGGGTCAGGCTCTACCAGGGAAGACAGACAAGGGAAGAGCAAAGAAATGCATATCCAGATGGTAACTTAAATGGTAGAGGCCAAGTCTTACTGACATAACATGCTACAGGATGCTGTGATTTTGTGGTAATTTCATGTAAGACCTTGGAACGTATGCTCCTACACGCAGGAGCTTAAGGAAGAGATGGACCTACTCTCCAAGGTATGCAGGAGTCTACCTGGCTTCTCTGCTGTTAGAAGCTGCCTTGCAATACTGCTGTGTTCCCACAATTGCCAGGGCAGATTGCCCCATTTCCACCCAGGATTTAGGAAACCCCAACTGATGGCTCAGTTTTCCCCAGGGGAGCTGGTCCCTGCACTTTCCAAGCCTCTCAAAAGGAGTGGAGAAGTTCCAGGGGCTGTGAGCACCAGCGGTAGCATGAGGACAAGCACTGTGAGTTTCAAGACTCCCAGTCTCTCCAGCACTTCTAGGAAATATAAGAAGAAACAGAGTTGCAACATCTAAAAATCCCTTGCTTTACAGCCTGTGCTTGGGGCAGCACGACATGTGCTTTGGCAAGACACTCTGTGCAGGCGAGGTCAAGCTAACAGGATTAACTGCAAAACCACTGAGCTCAGGAAAAACTAATAAATAAATAAAGATGAAGGAAAAAAACAAAGACAGCTTTGCATGAGACTGAAGCATTCTCCAGTTTGCTCTTCCCAGCCTCTAGTACTGCAGCAGCACATGGAGGGAACAGTCCCCACACTGCCACCCAGCACAGCAAGGACCAGGGCACCACCTTGAACACAGAGAAGTGACAAAGGAATGGTGGCAGCATCCCCAGATGGAAAGCAGAAGGGGTTCTGTCACAGTTTAACCTTATTTGAGGATCAGCCTGATATTTAACCCTTCATGGGACACCAGAGCAGCCAAAGGGAGCTGAGCTCAGCCTCTGGGCTACTATGACAGGAGTATTTCCGAGCTGCGGAGCCAGAGCAGGGCTGACCCCTCTCATGACCAGCTTGCCCTCTGCTCTTCACCGCCAGGAGACTCTTTTCCACTCCCCAACACAATAACAAGGCATCTCGCTCCGGACACAAAAGAGCAGAGAAGGTGAAGGGCTCACATTCGCTTTCTTTGGAGCGCTCACAAGGATCCGCAGGCTCTTCAGGGAAGGGCTCAGCTCCAACTGTTCCAGCGCTTTGTCCAAATCTTCTTGGGATTTCAGCGGGATCAGGAGCTGGAAGGGATTAAACAAACACCGGGGAATGGCAATGTCACACTTTTGGGTAAACAGAGGAAGCCAGATTCTTACAGTGAGCAGCCTGGGAATAGGGGGATGAGGGAGGAACCCAAGAAGGGGATGGAAAACGGAGCCCCCATGCCCTGCAGCTTGCCGAGCTCTTAACATTTTCTTCCAAGTTCTCATCTACCCAGGAACAGACACAAAAAATCACAACAAACAACATCTGCAGGGAGAAAGCTTAAAGGTCACATCAGCAATCCAGCCAGTGAGAAGAGGAGAGGGCTGGGATGAAACCTCAGGCTCGCTGCCTGCTACTCTGGGGCTGCTCTGATCTTGGAGTCTGTAGGAAAGACCTGCTGCTACCCAGCCCCAAAACAACCCCACACATTCTTCCCGTGTTTCTTCCTGGGAAGATGGTCATGCAATGGTGCTTCAAGAAATCAGTGAGCTGCACCCAAGGATTTACTTGGTAGATGCTCAATGCCCTTCCCTGCTGCTGCAATCTGTGCTCCTGCACACTGACAGAGCCTCCCTAATGTCTGCCCACCAAGTAAAATCAGGGAACACCCCACAAATAAGAGCCTCTTCCCTTTTGATGTGAAAAGTGTGCACTGCCCTCTATCCAAGAACCACTTCTTCCACTCCCAGCAGGACAAATTCGGCTTCTGCTCCTCATAAGGTAAATAGACCAGAGAACTACACAGTGCCGTGTCTATCAGGCAGCTGAAGGTCCTGATGTTTTCCTGGTAAACGGCCGACTATTGCCCTCATATCTCCACAGGGAATTTGACCCTCCCGACATTGCTGTGTGGTGTACCATGTCCTGCAGACAGTCTGCAAAGCTTCCAGTGCCCAACAGCTGCACTTCAGAGGAGCTCTGTGGCCTTCTGCTGCCCTGGGCTAAGATTAAAAGCACAACTTCTTACCCCTCATTCAGGGATATTCTGCCTAATCTCATAACAAACAGGACTCAGCCCCTGCAGGTTGCCTCAGGCACTGGCACTGGATCCAGGCAACACAGCACATGTTACACTCATGGCTGTGCCAAAGTACACAGTAATTCCACTGACCAAAGGGACCGAGCAGCCACAGCTCCCAGTAGGCCCTCACTGGTCTCACTGGGAGCCACAGCTTCCCAGAACTCCTGAAAGGCAGCTCATCCCTCTGTGTGATGAGGGTTCATGCCACCAGCCACAGCAAACACACCTCAGGGCAGCTGCCACAGGAGACTTCTCTCAAAAGCCAACTGTGACAACCTTTTTGATCCCAGGGTGTTGCCAAGGGTTTGGCTGTTGGTCATAGGCAAATACACCTCAGACTGTGTGCTCTGAGGTGAGGACCTCAGGGATGACCAGGTCAAGGGAAAGTTGTGGCCCCTGGCCAGCAGAGATGAGGTTTCACCTCAGGAAACTGCTACAGTCACTTCTTCCACCCAAGGACTGCAGCCAGAGCCTGCCAAGCTCCACCTTAGGTGTCCGTGTGGCAGCTGTTTCTACCCTGTGAGCACCTTAATGTTTGGATTGGGTTTCTCCTCTCCTGTCTTATAGGAAGATTATCTTCCATCTCTCTTTTGTAGGTAGAGAACTGAGCCATATGAGGGCCACCTGCTTCATGATGAACAGCAGGCTTAACATCATCGTCATGGAATCATTTAGGTTGGAAAAGACCTCTAAGATCAACGAGTCCAACTGTCAACCCAACATTGCCAAATCCATCAATAAACCATGTCCCTACATGGCACATTTACATGCCTTTTGAATACCTCCAGAGACAGTGACTCCACCATTTCTCTGGGCAGCCTGTTCCATTGCTTGACAACTCTTTTGGTGAAGAAATTTTCCCTAATATCCAATCTAAAGCTCCTCTGGTGCAACTTGAGGCCATTGCTCTGTGAAGAAGGACCTGGGGGTCCTGGTGGACAACAAGCTATCCCTGAGCCAGCCGTGTGTCCTGGGGGCAAGGAGGACAATGGTATCCTGGGATGCATCAGGAAAAGCATTGCCAGCAGGCTGAGGGAGGTGATCCTGCCCCTCTACTCAGACCTGGTGAGGCCACATCTGGAGTGCTGTGCCTAGTTCTGGGCTCCTCAGCACAAGAGAGATATGGAGCTCCTGGAGCAGGTTCAGCAGAGGATACAAGGTTGATCAATGCTCAGTGGAGCATCTCTCTTATGAAGAAAGGATGAGAGAACTGGGCCTGTTCAGCCTCGAGATGAGGTGACTGAGAGGGGACCTCATCACTGTCTGTCAGCGTCTGCAGGGAGGGGTCAGAGGATGGAGCAGGCTCTTGTTGGTGGTGCCCAGCAGTAGGACAAGTAGAAATGGGTAGAAACTGATGCACAGGAAGTTCCACCTGAATATAAGGAAGAACTTCTTCACTGTGCAGTGACCACACACTGGAACAGATTGTCCAGAGAGGGTGTGGAGTCTCCCTCACTGGAAATATTCCAGAACCATCCGGACACAATCCTGTGCCATGTGCTCTGGGATAACCCTACTTGAGCAGGAAGGCTGGACCAGATGACCCACTGTGGTCCCTTCCAATCTGACCCATTCTGGGATTCTGTGATTTCTTCTCATCCTGTCACCTGTTACCTGGGAGAAAATACCATGGTTCATGGTTACATTTTGGGATCTGAATGAACAGCCTGTGTTCGCAGCAGATACCAGACAAAGATGGTATTGAATATTTCTCCCAAATGCAGTGCTCACTCTGCTCCCTTAGGCAGCAGAGGTGAAGAGATATTCTCTTGGGGCACTGCCTGACCCTCTTGAAGTTCACAAAGGCTCCACAGCAAGGCTCTGCATCAAGCAGACAAGGCTTCTCCCCTACACTCACCCAAACAGAAATGAGGATGGTGGAGAGCTGCCCTCCCTCGTTTCGCCACCAGGTAGAATTTGACTCTGAACTGTAAGTACAGTCCCACTGCTTACACACCCCTTTACTGAGCTCCTCACAAGTGCTCAGAGCAACCCCTCACTGCTGCTCCGAACAGAATGTTCTGCAGGTCACTCCATCTCACTCAACTATCACAACATGAACATGTTTGTGTGCCTGCTTCAGAGGAGCCAAAAACAACAGGCAGAAATTGCCCTCTTGTAAAAGGGACTGGAGCCAGTATTTAGCTTAGATTTACCTATTACCCATAGCCTGGCAAGCAGATTTCACTCCATTTGGCTTCCAGACTGTGGCACATATGGATATCGGGAACAGGTATCTGCTAGGCATGAAACTCAATACAGACTCATGCAGAACCATGGCAGCAATTGCCAGGGTGTATTTCCAGTAATTGGGTTGATTTGATCTAAAGAAAGAGCAGCTGTGACGAACAGCAAAGTTTACCTACACAGAAGTTTCACTAAATAGAGCTTATTATGCTTTTGTCTTGCTTTTAAATAGCGCCTTCCCCTGGAGCCTGATGTTTAGTGTTTAGGGACTTGGTAGTCACTGTAGGTTAAGAAAGTGAGTGCAAAGGGTGAGTTTTCACCGACTGCAACAGCATTGCCAGACCTCACTCTGTAAGACACCGCAGAAAGCCAAAGAATAGTAGGAAACGGGGTTGGGGAAAAATCTGGGAGGTCAATTAGTTCATCTTCCTGCCCAATGCAGCACCAACTGGCATCAACAATTCTCGACAAATGTTTGTTAAATATGCTTTTATCTCCTCCCCCATTGTAATGGAGCCTCTACCACTTCCCCAGGCTTTAACTCTCCCTAAACTAACTGGTGCTGAGGGACAGCCTCAGAGGAGACAAGCATGGGGAGGTCAGAAGGGAACTGGTGGACGAAGTCACATCGCAAGTTGGTCATGGAGACAGACAAGGTAACACCTAGTCACACCTGGAGCAGCTACTTAGCAGTGCACAGAGATCAAATTCAGACAGAGAATTTGCCACAGAACCCAGCGCTGCCAACTTCACCACTAAACCGCGTCCCCATGTGCCCCATCTACACGCCTTTTAAATCCCTCCAGGGGTGGTGACTCCACCACTGCCCTGGGCAGCCTGTTCTGGTCCTTGACCACCTTTTCAGTGAAGAAATTTTTCCTAATATCCAATTCAAACCTCCCATGGTGCAACTTGAGACTGTTTCATCCTGTCCCTTGTTACCCGAGAGAAAAGACTGACCCCCACCTGGCTCCACCCTCCTTTCAGGGAGTTGTAGAGAGTGATAAGGTTCCCCCTGAGCCTCCTTTTCTCCAGGCTAAATACCCTCAGCTCCCTCAGGTGCTCCTCATCAGACTTGTGCTCCAGACCCTTCCTCAGCTCCATTGCCTTTCTCTGGACACGCTCCAGCATCCTAATGTCCTTCCTGTACTGAGGGGCCCAAAATGTCCCACCAAGAAAGCCAAGTTCATGAAGCTGTGGGAAGCAGGTGGAAAGCAGGTGGTCCTGAGATTATGGCCTACCTTAGACACCCAACTTCAAGATACTAAAAGCCAGGCCTGTAAAGGGGCACCACAATAGCTAAGTTCAGTGCATCCTGCTATCCTGTGGATTTTACAGTCCCAAATTAGATACCCAGGACCTTTACAGCTTGAATGAGAGCATTAGAGCCTTTTAATCCATAACACAGCCAGCTGTCCAACAGACACCATGCCATGCTGTCCATGGCCAGGACAGGTTTTGCCCTCCTGCACCTCAGAAAGATGAGCCCAGCCTAGAACTAACAGGCAGACATGCCCATGTGGTACACCCATGGCCAGGCCCTGCTCTTATCTACACCAGCCTGAGCCTGCTGATTCCATGGTCCCACCAGGATGTGATTCATGTGTGCCCCTGCTCCACCCAGCTGGCATGCTCATCCCACTGATCTTGGCTTCAGGACTCCTCCTCCACCAGGATAGGGACTGCCAGTCAGTGAGATTTTGCAGGGGCCTGTTCACCTTAAGTGTAATTTTGGTCTACAAGGTGCTACTGCAAGATAGATGTCTGATGGCAACAAAGAATTACTGCACAAGTGCCTTTGAGCATAAAGAAAGGCTGAAACATTTAACTGTAATGAGTCTGTGGTCAAGCTACCCCTGAGACTTGCAGTCATTGCAGAACCAGAAAACCTGACCCAGAAGATGTTAAAAGCCAGATGCTGGGGTGTCAGCATGTGGACATGAGCTATTTCCCCACAGATCACTCTTGTCTGTTTATAGTGTTTCCATGACAACAACCCTGAATTACTACTTCTTAGACATCTTCCAAAAGCTGTGGGTTCTCACAAGGAGGAATTTTTATATACAGAAAAACAAAGCACTGAAAATCATCCATAACCCTCAGAAGTCAGGAGTACCCAAAGGCCTGCTCGTGGTCCTGCTATGTGCCTGTGCACATGCCCAGAAAGATGGTCTCCAACATGGGATAAAATGCATTATTTAAGCTTCTGTTTGCTGTTGTTGGAAAGAAATCCTCTTCCAGTGGAAAGAAACCTGGAATGAAATGAGTCATTCCTGGAGAATTCAATGGCAGGCTTTTCCCGGGAGGGCTGTCAAAGAATGCCCAAGATTAGAAACCTGACTGCCTTCAAAGTGAAAACCCAGTGGACATTCTGGTATCATGAGGTAGCTATTATAAAGGGAAAGGAACTTTTTTTTGTGGATCAAATCTCTATTGAAACAGAAGCGAGAAAAAAAGAAAGGGAAAAAAAAAAAAAGAAGAAAGCTCTCTTCATAACCTCTCTCTCTATTCATACTTCGATGAAAGGCTGTAGGTCATTTACAATTAATACTTGAATAAGCAAGCTTTCAGGACAGATCCAAAAGGATTTATGTTTAAAAGCCCACCTCTTTGTCATCTGGCCTTCTCCTCCTCCCCAAAGCCAAACCCACCTTGAGAGTCCAGCAGCTCCAGATGCCTGCCAAGATGCCTCTTATGGCAAGATGCCTCAAGAAAACACTGAGCACACCAAAACAGATGCCAAGGATTTCCTCCTTCTAGGTAACAGCCCTCAGCAATACCCTCCTTTCACACACTGCTGGGCTCAAAGAAAAACTGGAAAAACACAGTGGCCTCTGTTATTGAAGAAGGATGGAGGAGAAAGGTCTTCAAGCCTTAAAATGCAAGGATTGCAGGGGGAGGGTTTCTTGCTTTTATGTGGCCACAGGACCTGCTAGAGGAATGTTCAGTGATGCACATTTCACTGTAGCCCCAACCAGAAGAACATCCACTTCGTTCTGGAGCTTTGGGTGAAACAAAGTCAGTGCTAGATAAAAGTACACTGTGTGAGCAGCACTGTCCCTCTGCTCTGGACTGCACATGCCTGCAGCTGCCCCCAAGGTGGGAAGGCTTCACATCCCTCTTTGAGTGAGGGGAATCTTCTGTTCTGGGGAAAAGACAGTGTTCCAGTGTGATAATTTAATAGGCCTTACTTGAAATAGGCCTCACTTTGAGAGGGGAAAAGCCTGGCTTGGAGTCTAGGAATCCATCTGAGCCGTGGCCACACAACAGCTCTTGTACGCTCACTAGCTGGGAACCAGAAAATAAGGTTATTTTTGTTCACATGCAAGTACAACACAACATTAGGGCCTTCAGAACAAACCACTGCTCACTTCTGAAGTTGGCACCAGGCACCCTAAACCTGCCCCATAGGAGAAGGGAGAAGATTACCTCATTGTTCACACAGACTAAGTCCATTGTCTGTCCAAAAGCATCCGTGACCTTCTGCACCACTTCTTTGAATTTGACTGGTCTTGGAAACTGGATAATCCTGTATATGCAAACAAATACAACAACAGTCACAATTTAGTAGAAGCATACTGAAATTTGGGATTCGACTGACAATTCAGAAGAAAGGACCTGTATTCTATCATGAAGCATAAACCCTGGTCCTTGCTTCTACACTCACAGAAATGATGCTCATCTGCAGTGCCCAAGAGGGGACTGGACCCACCCTGCAAGAACATGACCCAGAAATCCTAGTGCAGCTCCTCTCCTCCCTCTAATGTGAGGCATAGGTAGAAAAGAAGTCCAGCAGCCCTTCACTGGCAAAATCCCAGATCAGGCACTGGTCAGTAATATTTATCATCTCCATTTTCAGCAAGGGGCTCTGAACAGGAAGGAGGGATGGAAGTGGGAATGATGCAGTTTTGGCATCCTGTGACTGTCCTGTACCATCACATGCAGCAGTTCTAAAGGTATGTACAGCAGGTACAGTCTATCCCTACAGCAATTTCAATTTTCTTTGGCTCTAACATGCAGTTTGGACCATCAGCCTGTGTCCTGCCCTGTCACAGTCACCAAGCACCGAGCAGAGGTGATTCCATGAAAATGTCAAGCAGGGAAGGGCGGACAAGCTTTAACTCCCAGCCCTATTTTTATGGGACCCATGCCCAAAATCTGGTTATCTTAAGTAAGTGTCATAGACTGCTAATCAAAGAACACATTTCTGCAGAGTTCCAACCCCGCTGTGGTTCAGCAGGGCTCAAGAATTAAAAAGAGAAAAGGATCCAAGTGTGCACCCTATGTCCCTTGTAAAAGAGGCATTTAATGACTTCCAGCTTGGAAGCACTTCTCCTGCGCGCAAATCCCAGGAGCTACTTATGGCAAATTGGAATAATGAGGCAAGGCAGTTGCACATAAAACTGTAGCCGATTTTAGGGGAGTGAATCCTGATGTGAGCTCATCTGCAGCTGGCTGAAGTCAGCAAGATGATGTTGGGTAAAAAAGGTAATTTGTCCCCGTACATGTGGGGCACTGGGTTGGGTACCTACCTTTTCTCTCCTTCATATTCAAACTTGATCCTGACATTTCGCTGCTGAAACAAAAAGCAGAAAATGGTGAGGTCTCAAACTGCAGCCCAGACTGACACACAGATCCAAAACTCTCAATGAGACTCCCCTAACTCCAATAGGCATCTGGTTTATTTAGGGCTAAGCTGCCTGTTGGACTCACGGACTTTGGGGACACTCCACGTTGCTGATAAATGTGCTTGTCAAAACATAAGGTCTTCTGTAAACAAGAAGACACTCACCTGTATAACTGTTAGTTTTAATAAAATGCTTTCATAAAGTGGAAAATTGTGAGTGCTCTGAACTCATTTGGGAACAAGGCACTACTATCAAAGAGGCCAACATGTCAAGTGTTTGATGTCTGTCCATCTTCAGCATTTCCCATGGTTTCACCCCAGTACTTTTCCATTGGAAATCCAAAAAGCAGAGCTCAGAGGGATGTTTACTAGAACGCACAAAGACTTAAGAAGTAAAAGCAAGCATCCCATAATGGAAGTGGAGGGACAGCCTTGGATTTTAAAAGCCAGCAGTGCCAGGATGGTTGTAGGGGTGGCTGTTATTTTGTTAGGACCTACAAAATGCAAAGTGTATCAGGCCCACTACACTGTACACAGTAAATGCTCACCCTGAACTGACCCATTGCTCATCCCAAGAGAAAACACTAAATTTGCCCAAAGAAAAGCCAGTGAAGTCACAGGCAGACTGGACACACAGCTGTGCAGGGACTAGTAAAAGCTACTTCTCCCATCCTCTATTTGTGCATATTTAGCAGCAGTTGAGATCACAACGAGCCTTTTCATTCATTCAGCTTCTCAGACCAGGCCTAAGCCAAGCATCCTTCTAGCATCCCTTGGATCATTCCGGGACTTTCTGACGGCCTCCAAGGCAGATCAAAACCCTCTTTACTTTCCAGACCAGGTTTAGTCACCCCAGTTAACCAGCACTCTGCTCTTACTAGTGCACACAAGCCTCCTCAATCAGTAGTTTTCTTCTCATCAAGTAAAAAAGTGCTGTGGCCCCTCCCTCCGAGGTGTAACACCAGGCAGGGCTCGGTTCTGCACCACCGGCATCTCACTGGGATAATCCCAGAATGGGTGGGTGACAGCCCTTCCTGAGCAAAGGACTTATCTCTGGGCCTGGATTGCCAGAGTGTGAAGGCACACTTTCCATCCCCACAGAGGCAAAGCAGAGCCACAGTGAAACAGCTTTGTTTCTAACGAGGAGAATGAGCTGGATGGGCGCCCTTTGGTTTATTTTTAAACTGACAGCTCCTCCAGTTCTGCAAACACCCACTGAAGTTCAGGAAGTCAAGGCTAGAGGCGATTCTGTTGAAAAGCTTAAAAAAAACAAAACAAAACAAAACAAAAAAACCCCAGCAGATTCAGGGTAAACATGTTGGATCACCCGAAACGCATCCTTTCTATCTCTGTTCATGGCATTTTCTGTGCTTCCGGAAGGGCTGGGAAGAACCAGTGCTGGAACAGTCACCAAATGGGGCACTCCAGCAGTGTTACAGGCCTGTGCTAAAGAGGCAGTTACATCACCTCGATGTCTAGAGCCAGTTCTCCAGACCCACAATGTTTGGACAAACTCCAGGTTCATTTCCAGAACCAGGCCCAACATGTAAAAATACCAAATTAATTCTAAACCAGTCTAAAATTCAAAAGGAGAAGAAGAGATGACCATAACCATCCTAGTGTTGAAGGTCCAAATCATTCTGGAGAGATGAGCAAATACAGGTGGGATTGCCACCTTGGATTATCTCTGTTGGAAAAAAAGAGGTACAGGCTCTTTTACGCCAATTTTTATTTCCTTGTGTCTTTCTGAACATGCCTGGCTGGCTCATTCCTCTTGGATGCTGGTAGTAAATTGGCCAGTGTGGGTTCACTGGCTGTAACACCAGAAAACTCTTCTCTAAAGCAAGAGAAAAAAATCAGGGCAAGGAACTTTCGAGGTTTCTCCTGACAAAGGAGCAGGACGTGGAAGGGGAAAAGCTCTCACAGCTCTGGCCTCGCTGCAGGAAACCTTTCAAAACACAGGTTTCACTTTCAGCACAGCCCCGAACGCTGCACCGAGCTGGGACACGGCACACGCTGCCTGGTTGTGCTGAGCAACACAAATTTCACAGACAAATAAGTTTTGAAAAACAGCTTGTGGCTGGAAAATGTCAGAACACTCGTCTAAAGCTCCAGAGAGAGAGAAGAAAATGAAAAAAAATGAGCCACGACCCTGCTGCATCCTTTTCTTCTACATCAACAACAAGGCTGATGTGCCATGGCCCAAAGCCAGCAGGAGGACGCCAGCTGCCCCACACTGCTCTGCTCTGCTTCTGAGCAGAGCTACAAACACCCCGGCTGCAACAGGGGAATGAAAACCCACTTCAATTCTTAATTGCATAATTTTTTTTCCATATAAAACAAACTAACCTCTTGCATCCCTCAAAGAAAGCAAGACCTTAAGCTCTCAGGCATTTGCAAGAGGGATAAATACATATTTATTACTCTGAGAAGTCGGTTACTGCTTTATTTTTCATTCTTCCCCTGGCTTGCTCACATTTTTGACCCACAGCTCAAGCTGAATTCGTCACTGCTATCAGCAACAAATACTTTTTTCCTTTTAAAAAAAAAAAAAAGAGTGGGCAGTGCCCAAAGTACTAGGAAGTCTCAGGGGATGCAAAGCACTTCCTAAATGCTGGAGCAGGCTGTGATTTTTTACACCCATGGAAATCTGGTTTGGAGCAACTGGTTTAAGATTACACAGGGAGTCTGGGGCACCGCCAAGTACTGGAGTAAAATCTCCTGCAACTCTGTACCCAGTGCCTCAAATGCACCATCAAGGGGAAGGCAGGGCCAGCACCTTCTCTGTAAGGACCTCAACACTGCATGCAAATGTTGAGGTGGGAGAGGTGTGGGTGGTGGAGGCTGGTGGGTTGTACTCACTTCTGCAATTTTGTGAGGAATGAAGACAATGAATCCTCCTTGCACAATCCAAGTTGTACTATTTACCCTCCCTGCCTTCAGATGTTAAATGAGGTTAAGGGCAGCCCTGTTCCCCCTCAGTCAAGAGGGCATTTGTTGGTGTTGGAGAACAAGCCAAGACATCCAAGAAGGGCCTGTGTTAAATACAGTGGAGGAGAGGGGTTAGGCCAGTCACAGGCACCAGCCTTAAACCCTGAGCTCTGGCAGAGCATTTCAGCAAATGGTTTCATGGAGCACTGGGAGAGCTGAGGCAGGTAATGGAGCAAACAAGGGAAACTGAGGCACAAAGGGCTTTGGCTAAGGGTATGAAGAGAAAGCCCAGCCTGGAGAGGAGAAGGCTCCATGAAGACTTTATTGCAGCATTTCAATATAAAAAGGGGGATTTATAAGATGGAGAGAAGCTTTTCACCAGGTCCTGTAGTGACTGGACAAAGGCAACAGTTTTTAAGTGCAAGAGGCTAAATTTAGGCTGGATATAAGGAAGAAATTTTCCGTGCTGAGGTTGATGGGACACTGGTACAGGTTGCCCAGAGAAGCTGCGGATGCCCCATCCCTGGAAGTGTTCAAGGCCATGTTGGATGAGATCTTGAGCAACCTGATCTAGTGAAAGATGTCCCTGCCCACAGCAGACGGATTGGACTTTACAGGCCTTTCCAACCCAAACCATCCTGTGATTCATTCTGTGAAGCCGAAGAGTGGTAGAGAGAAGCACAGAATTTAGGTGCTTGGTCTCCTGGGCTGTGTGTAGTGAGCAACCTTCCCTCTCTACGTGCATTTCCGTACAACACGGGGCACGCAGGAGCCCACGTCCCGGCTGGCGCCTGCAGACCCTGCTGCGACACAAACAAAATAAGCGACAACCCTGGCAGGAAATACCACAGTCATTCCCTTCGTTTCTAGAATAATTTCTTCTCCAAAATGCTTGGACCGGCATTTCCTCCAGCCCTGCTAACAAATGGTATTTTACTCTTTCTTGCCATACGCCTCCGAAAGGAAAAAGCAAAGCTACCGCAGCGGCCACAAACCCAGCACCATCTTTCCAGGCTTTCCTTGAGGTATTTTTAGCTCCTTCCTCAAAACTTCTAATTTCACAAAGAGAAAAGGCCACAGCTGCCAAGCTTCAGAGGAATCCCTGATGGCAACTGAGGGGGGAAAAGGGGCAAGTGCTTCTGCCCACTCGGCTGGGGACCATGTACCCCGGCAGGCTCGGCCAAGCTCGGCCCCCGGAGCTGGAGCAAGCAGCACTGAGCACTGGTTTAGATTAAGGAAAATGCTGGAAAAAAATGGAAAAAGTGTTTCCAAGCGAGGTGAATCATGATCTTATACAGAGATCCCTGAAGAGCTGACTGCTGTTTGTAATAAAAGCACACACGGAGAGCAGGAAAACAAGCCGTTAGGCCTAAAATGGAAGCGGTTTCAGAGAAACAGAAGGTGCTGAACACTCTTTGCTGCTGCACAATCAGAGGGTTGTTCAGACTGGGGTCCAAGCTGAGCAATGCCTGTGGAGAAGGCTGTCTAATGGCAGAGGGATACCTTCACTGCATCAGTGCCACTGATGGCAAGCAGGGAGCCAGCCCCACACCTCCACACCTGCCCGTGTGGCACAGGGAGCTGAAACACCACACTGTAAAACCCTACACCAGCACCAAACTCAAAGACTCCCCTCAAACTCAGCTGCCCTAAGAAACAGTGTTCTGGTCAGAACCCACCTCTGTGGCTTGCTTTAAAGCTGTTCTTGTCAAATCTAACCAGAGGACAGCTTTGTCCATGCTAAGACACCACAGAGATGGGGCCTTTGGATCACTTCTTCCACCCAAATCCACAGCTGCCTCACAAACCATCTGGGACAAAGCCTCAGACTTCAGCATTAACCCTTCTGTGGTCAAGAAAGGCAGGAAAAATCATCACAAGGGGCCTCCTATTCCCTTTGGTGCTGGTCCGAGAGGGGCTCATTCCAGGCTTGCTCATACCCACCCACCAGACTTTGGGCACTTATTTTGCCTCAGTTTCCCCCTGAGGTAAAAGAGGGACAATGACGGACACCCACTTCTGCATGCCAGAGGGTAATCAGAGGGATTATTTTCACTTCTCTCATTTTCTTACTCGTTGGATTAGGAAACAATGAGGAAACCCCGCGGAGCCGCACGCAGCGTTCGGGCTTTAGTGCTCGGGTTACTCCTTTGTACAAAGCCACAAAGCAGTGGGATTTCTCCCCAGATTCTGGCTTTGGCTAAGAGGAGTCAGCACCACAGGGCCAGGCTGGAAGGGGACTCCTGCACCTCCTCGAGGTGCACATTGTTTGCATTAGTGCTGTGCTCGCCCCTGCTTTCAGCAACGGGACGTTCGTTAGGAGCCAGACAGCTGGACCGCGGCCCCAAACCGCAGTAGGAGATGACTAATGCGCGTCATTAGGAATTATCTGCACAGAACCCCCACGCACTCCGGGTTATTCAGCAATCAGACAGAAAGCAGTTTGTCTGGGATTGCCCCCTTTCTCCTTTCGGGGGTGGAAGGTACAATATACCCCGGTCCTCCCCCCGGGGTCCTTGAGGCTCTTTTCCTCTGAAAAGGCAGGTACAGCATGTGAGCAGCGCAGAGGACAGCAGAAAAACCATGCCTAGAAGGTTCACTGCTCCCTGTTGTAGATACTTCTGGTTTATACAGCAGCAGAAATCACGGGCTTCAAAATGTTTATCTAAAGCCACCCACCTGGCAGGGAATAGCTTTATTTCTCATTGGTATTACCCTCTTCACACCCAAGTCAGCTCCACACACAGACAAGGGAAAGCCTCTAAAATCCTTGGGACTCCACTGCCTTTGCCACCTCTAGCCAAGGCTTTCCCAATCAGTGCTGCTCCCTCTTGGTCCCTTGTTTTTGCCCCCCAGGTGGGGAAGTCCCTGCAGATCTCCTCATAGAGACTCCCATCTTCAAGGGGATATTTATGGACCCCCATCCTATTCTCCAGATGTAAACTAGAGGTGATAAAGCCTTTTAGGCTGCTCTAAGACCCAGAGAGAGCCCTACAACATGAGCTATATTTCATTGGATTATGAGCAAGCCTTGTCCTGCATCCAACTTGCCAAACAAAAGAGAGTCCAGAGGTAATTTACTAAAAGAACAACTTCTAGGTCAGTCTGACATTTGATGTAAATGGAAAAATGTTTCTTATGAATATTGGATTTAATTGCCATGGGAGAACTTGCCATCAAGATTCAGGTGGCAGAGGAGCTGCTGGTTGTCACCAGCTGTGACAGAGGCCACGCCTGCACTGACAACCAGCTTCACACTGCAAATTGCCAAGTGCTATTTATATAAATGAGGGGAAGTGCACAGAAATAGATGCAAAATTAATGTTAATGCAATTGCTCCTTTCTCCCTCCATGCTTTGGTTCAGGATTTCTTAATTCTTTGGGGTTTCCCTTCTTATCCCCCTCATCTTTTTTCTTAGTGATCACAATGCAGATGTTCATTCTGCTGTTTCCTCCTTCTCCCCTTCAGAGCCATTTCTATAAAAAATCTCCTTTGCTCAGTCCAGGAGATGACTTGAAAGGACTCTTTCCAGCCATGCCAGAGGATGCATGAGGAGCAACAAGATGATAAAAGGAATAACAGAGGAATATGAGGGCAAAGGTTGCAGGAGGAATAATGTCAGAATGATCCCTCTGCTCCCAAAGAACGGCTCCACTTTAACTCACATGCAGAAGGAAAAGGGTGTCCCTGTCTATCCCTCTGCCATTTTCCCACAAAACAGAGAGGCAGGACAACGTAGTGCCTGACACACCTGACCAGGACTCAGGAGATTCCAGCCATCACATCTGCTGCCAGCTGCCCAGGCAATCCAAGAGAGGAAAATCAGCCACATCATGCTGTTCTCATTTTCAGATTGTCCTACCACAAGGCACTACACATTCAGAGGCTCAGCCTCAGTCCTAAACTCATTTGTAAGGAAAGCAAACTAAGAAAAGAATGATTTGCAATTTGCCAAGGGATGTTCATTTCCTAAGACGATCTGACGCAAAACCATCGATATTTTGGGGAAGAAATATTCTGGAGCACAAACCACCACAGACTGCTTTCTTGTGTGGCCCAGGCCTACCAGGAATACTGTCTGGCAGGCTTTGAATTTCAACTTCTGTCAAGAGAGCACTAAGAAACCCCTCCAGGAGACAGGAATGAGATAGCATTTTGGTTGTGTTTCTCTGTGGACCAAAAAGCTGCTGCAAGCCACAAAGAACTGGCTAGTTAGCCAAGACATTCTTGTTCAAAAGTGTTTTTCACTGGAAATTTGGAACACTGACTAAAGGATTCCCATGCCTCAGAAAAGCATTTTTCCACAGAAAAGGAAAGATTATTATTATTATTAATTGAACAACTGAACTTCCAGACCCAAATAGTTCTATGTGAGCGGGTTCCTGCAGGGCCTCAATAGAGGCACCAGCAATGAGATGATCAAGAGGACATTTTAAGATCTAAATGCCCCGTGCCTCACTCCCTCTCCAATAAGGGAGACTGTGCAGGACATCCTTCAGCCCAACCAGCCAACCTGATCAGAAGAAAAAAATAAAAGAGAAAGAAAAGGGAACACCAAGTACCAAAGGAACAACAAATCACTGGCAGGACAACAGCATTGCCAAAGCAATCTCTCCCCCACATCAATTTCTGTCCTAAAAAACAAGGAGAAAAATCCCCAAACAACTCGATTAAAAGTTTCTGAGCTGCAAACACGAACCAAGTCCCGGACTGATTCCACCTACTTTGGCCACTCCCCACCTCCCAGACTAGACTCCCGTCGTCCCACGAGCCAGACTTGTTCCAGCTAGTCCAATTTAGTGAAGCAACAATTCAACATCCTCCAACGCCCTTCATCTCGTGGGGCCTGTTGGTCTGAATCCTCAGCTCCGGATGCGCGAGGAGAGCGGGATGCTGACTATCTGCATCTCCTCCATCAGAGAGCTCTGAGTAACACTGAGCACGCAGCTACAGCTGCTCCACTTGTGGATAAAAGGGAAAAATCAGAAAGGAGGCAATTGTTTTTCCAAGCATCAGCGCTGTAATAAGAAGGAAAGTTTGATTCCCAATATAATAAAATTACACTCAAGTGGCAGCTAACTATTCGAAAGCTGATATCAGAGCACCAACTCTGCTGGTGATTTATAAATGAAGATACAGAGTGGGTGGGCTGTGGATATGAACTTCATTGCAAGATGTCAACTTTATGAAACTTCTGCAGATATTCAGTCAATGAAAACCATTATTCTCCTTATTTTCCACAAGTTATCTGGCTAACTGTGCATCTGCAGCTTTTACAGCACAGTTCTCAGATGTGACAGCAGGGATTTTCCCCTCATTGTGCAAAAACAAGTATGTCATTTACGAGAGGTCTAAAAAGCTTTGCTGCCCTGAAAGCAACCCGAGATGGCTCAGTATGGTCCCCACCCATCAACGTGCAGAAAATGCTGCCCTTGGAGCCATCCAAGGCTGCGCTGGGTTTTCTGCTTCGCCTGCAGCTGCAGAGGAGCCAGTTCCGAATTTCTCTGGTCAGTCCTGTAAACATCTTGGACTTATTTCAGCATGAGATGAACACAAGTCCAGTGATTCAACTTGGACAGCTGCTACCGCCAGGACAACACACTTTGAGACAAGACATGCTACGTGCGCACGTGTTTTCGTCTGCATGTGTCTAGGAAGTCTAGAGGGATTCGGGATAGGATTTTTCCTCTCTGCATGCAGAGCTCTTTGTTTGTAGCACAAGTGCCATTTAAAAAATGCATGACAACAGTAAATGACAATTTGTTTTCCTCCTTGCTGGGCATTCAGCAGTTGCAAAGTTGGCTGCAAGCTTATTCTAAGCCACAGCACTAGAAGTGGAATTCCTAGTGGATCTGCTCCCATGCTTCTCCAGCAGCTTCCCAGTCCTCTTAATTTTTGTCTCCCTTTTTTTCTTGCTATTTTGACAACTCAATTGATTTCTTCACAACTTTCGTGTTCGCGTAATATTTGTTCCATACACAAACAGGCTATTAAATCCAACTCAGCTATTATATCAATGTCAGCAAATAATTTCCAACATTTCTCAAGGGACAACGTTTTTGTTCACCAAAACAACTCTGAATGTGCAACAGGGCCAAAATGTTTGGGTTTAGGAGTGTAAAGATAAACACCAGTAATTAATAATTAAACACTTTATATAAGAATGACATTATTCCTCCCCAAAGAGCCTGGGTGTCTACAGCTCAAAGTTGGCAGTCTGTCTTTCAAATATCTGAAGTCAAATGTGCACGTAATAAGTACTGTATTTCATCAATGCTGTCAGTACAAAACATTTGACTTATCCAAGTCTTAAAGCTGCACAGACAAGTTCTACTACTTTCAGTGTTAACCAACGGTTAAAAGTGCCTTGAGGTGGGAATTGAGCTTAAAACCCAGTTTCAAGCTCTGTTGTTATATTTTTTAATTATTTGGGGCACTGCCCTTCTCTGCTCCTCTGTGATATGGGGATGCCTGTAACTTCCTTTCAGCTCTTCAAAAAGAGAACCTAAAGCTTATGCCTTGGTGAAATTACGGTATTTCTGATGTACTAAGGTCCTGCAGCACTTGTCAAATTCAGTTCTAACATTTAAACTCTGCACTACCAGCATGGCAAGCACCATGCCCACCTCTTCAGTCTGTTGGAATTTGAGGTAGAATCAAGCAATGCCTTACCTGTTTACTGCAGTGGACACTGGTTTTATTCCTGTTGTTGTCCAGCAGCCCCCCACATTTGCCCAACGCTGCCAAATCCTTCATAATAGAGTTCAGAGCTTCTTCTTCATCTGCAAAAGAAGATGAGACAGCTGAAGTGTGGAAGGCAACCTCACCCCCAGAACTACAGAGTAAAAGCACAGCATTGCAAAGACAAGCTTTCAATCCAAATGGATCAGGAGCCACGATGTCAAGCCTTCCTTTTAAGAGAGACGTTCCAAGGCATTCCAGCTCATGGTGTCTTGGAAATACAGGTTCTTCACCACTGGTGAGCCAAATCCTCAGATCTTATTGCAGCCTTTCAGTACCAGAAGGGGGCTTACAAGAAAACCGGAGAGGAAATCTTGACAAGGGCAAGTAGTGAGTGACAGGACATGAGACAATGTCTTTAAACTGACAGAGGGTCAGTTTAGATTAGATGTTAGGAAGAAATTTTCCACTGTCAGAGTGGTGAAGCCCTGGCACAGGTTGCCCAGAGAAGCTGTGAATGCCCCATCCCTGGAAGTGTTCAAGGCCAGGTTGGATGGAGCAGTCTGGTCAAGTGGAAGGTGTCCCTGCTCATGGCAGGGGGATTGGAACTGGATTATCTTTAAAGTCCCTTCCAGATCCAGTTTTTGGGGTGTATGGTGGTGCTCTGCAGGACAGAAACCTTTCGGGACCCAGAAAGCTCATGGCAGCAGATGATGGGGCACAACACAGTTCTTCATCTCCTCCTTTCTTCCCTCTTCATTAAGGGTGCTCAAGAACCACAGAATGATTTCCAAAACCAGAGGCAGCAAGAAACCACGGGAGAGGGCAAGGAATTCATAAGAAGAGATAAAGTCAGCAATGCTGGATAGAAGAAATCAGAGAACTTTGAAGGACCCGTTCGATCTGAAACCAATCTCCTCCTTTTCAACACTTTTCCATCTGTGCTTGTGGCCTCTTAAAGCAGCTCTGAACTGTGACACTGCAAAATACCAACCACAAGCTCTAAGAGCCCTGTCAAGACCTAGGGCAGGGCACACTCCTTAGGAGGGTGTGAGAACCCACTGCACGCTCCATGTTTGTGATATACCCAAGACAAATATTAGGCACGTGCAGCTATTACTGTAAAAATACAAATACAGCTACAAATTTTGTCTAAAAGCAAGTGTCTCCAGGGACAGAACCACCCCTACACCAAGCCAGCCTGCAGATTTAACTCAAAGTCCACAAATATGTGAAAAATTACAAAAATTGTATGAAATCAGACAGGACCAGACCCAAATACTGAGGATCTTTCCCCAGGGAGGTGTATGTCCTGGATCCTCGTACTCAGATACAATATCATATCCTCTTTTTCTGCTCCTCCTGCTGGGTTCTGTCAGGACTGAAGGCGTGGAAAAAAAAAAAGATGTGAGAAAAAGACTCATCATGCATGCTGTGCACCCAGAGACATCTCATTAAAGAAATAAGGGGGAAAACTGGGGGAAAATGTTTAAAATCCAGTGTCACTTTCATTTTATTGCTCAGAAATGAGCTCCAATGCCTCCATCAGACTATTAGGAAAGTGCCTACATTTTCCTGTACACAATGTGTGTGTGTGTATATTTAGTATATAAACAGATATCTATGTATCAATATTAAATATACAATTGATAAAATAATAAAATTCATACCAAAGTACATTAAAATACAATTCCTTTTCCTTTCCACATTTCCCTTTTTACTAAAAACACAGTTATGTTTTTCCAAAGGGGTGGCAGGGAGAGCAGCCTGAAATGCCACAAGAAAACACTCAAGAAAAAGATAATTTTCAGTTCTAGTTCAGAAAAAAAAAACAAAACAAACAAACAAACGAAACCCAAACCCACAACAAGAGTATCCCCATAGTTTGGGTTTGGGGTATTTTTCTTTTGTTGTTGTTGGTTTGGTTTGGGTTGCCTTTTTTTTTTTTTTTAAAGGACCATTTGGACCAAACCACAGTTTATCATACAGTATTTTGGGGAAAATAACCCGGACTAACCAAAATAACCAAAAAAACTAAGAAAAAAATAAAAAAAAAAAACAAAAAAAAAAAAAGAAGAAAAAAAGCCTCTTTTTTTTTTTGGTGGGGGGAGGGAAAGAGGGGAGGGACAAGCTAAAACAAACCTACAAAACAAAACCCCTTACGCTGCCCTCCAGGAATTTTCCACCAAAGCCCTAATCTCTGCAATGCCCCTCGCCCCCTTTCTTTTTTTCCAGCCCGAGTGACAACAAAAGTTTCCTGAACTGTTTTTCCTGACACAAAACACAATCCATAAAGTCACGGGCAAACAGGGCTTCAACAGGCAGAGGCAGAGCCAGGCTTTTGCTACCAAAACCACCCTATTCACCACCACTCTCCCAATTCCAAACCTCCCTGGCCAGGCCCAGCAGCATCTTCAAAGAGATTCATCTCTGGTTAATCCACCAAGGATAGTCCAGAACTTGCCCCAGGGAGGGACAGCAGGATTTGCTGGAGGGCAATAGTAATAATAATAACAAATAATAATAAACCAACAAACAGAGACAGAGTAATTTCAAAGTTTACTGGAGTGGTTGTAAAGCCACTTCTCTCCATCCCAAGAGAAAGACCTGCAGCCCCCAAGAGTTGGCCCAAGCTCCCCACAGACCACTTGTGACAAGTTGTTTACCAGAGGGCAAAGCAAGGAAGGCCAATTTCCCTTGGACTTCTGTGTTCTTCTTAAACACCAAGGAGTTTCCAACGTCTAGGAAAGGTTTGGTTTATGTGACACTGCCCTCAAAGCAATAAGTGAATCTTTCTCCTTTACCTACCCATCATTTTTGCCAATACTTTTTGCAACACAGTCTTTCGAGTCCATCAAACACAGGTTTAAAAATTCCTACTGCTGCAAGTCCAGCTGCATCACTATGGAAGTCACATTTCTGAGGAAGTCAGGCTACACATCTCTGCCAGAAGCGACCTTTTGCATCTCTCCCAGCATAGCAAAGCAAGGAGAATCCACTCCCTTTCAGTAACTGCCTAAATTCAGCCGATTTTCAGAAATACCCAACCATCAACTGAAGCAGCCAAGAACCAGTGGTGTAAAACTGGGCTCCAGCTGCCCTAAATCAGTTACTGAAAGAAGAAAGAAAAAAGAAAGAGAAGTCATTTCTTGTATTTGACTGTCAACTCAGCATCTTTGTTCCTCTATCTACTAAAAAGCCAATGCAAAAGAGCATTCTGAAGAGCATTTGAGGATTTTTAATTATAAAACATGGGTGTTACTTGTCCAAAAAAAACCAAAATCTGCACCATCACTGCTACAAAATAAGGTAAGAAAATTTCTCTCTATATGAGCAGGAGAAGTTGTTTTCTACTGCTGGAGTGCAAAAGAACATGACTTACACACAAGAAGAAATACAGTATTTCCTTGAACGAACGTATTTATATGTGCTTAAGTATTTTTTAACCACTTTTAACAGTGTGTTTTTAGTCCAAGAGAGCTGCAATTTCAGAGACACGATGACCAAAGCCTCAACTGTTCAAAACAAAAACCCCCACACCATGGTTTGAAGCAACTTCTGAGCAGGAGAATGATTTGCATCATCGGTTGCAAAACCGACACTTCCCAGTCCTCTCCATGACAGCTTTGCACAGGGACTGATGCCTTCCAGACTAAACCTCTTGCCCATTCTAATTACTGCTCCTGGGGTCTCCAAGCTGACTCGCAAGAAGGGTGGAGAACTTTGTTCCATGGAAATAAGCGGCCAGCTCAGCCAGTTCAGTCAAAATTCAAACAAGCACTGGAGCTAACTGGATAATTAAAGCCAAATGACACTCCCAAGCCCTTCCAGAGAAGGGGGTGTCACAGGCTGCTTGTTCTCCATTTGGCTCAGTTTGAGTGAGGAGTGGGTGCAGAATGGACGGCTCTCCCAGGGGCAAAATGCCAATCATCAGGAATCCCAGGCCCAAGGGACAGGCAGGATCAAGATTCTCCTTTTCTAGCCCTGGCAGGGCTCAAGTTTTCTTCAGCCTTGTGAGAAGGCAGCACTGAGACTGCACAGCAAACACCTTCCCAGGCTTTGCCATGGCTCCAGAACAAAACAGCTGCGAATTGCACACCACCAGTGAAGTATCCTCAGCACTTGGATGGACTTGGAGACTCGTGGAAACCCTTTCACAATGTGAGCACGTTCTTGCTCCTGAACAACCTTCTGGCCCAGCTTCACTCTTGCACCATTTTGTACAAATTCACTTAAGGTACTGTAGGCTGACAGGATGAATTGTTCAATGATGTCTGCTCTCTACCCAGAACACATATAAACAGGATTATTTTTACCATGGAAGATCAGGACAAAAAAAAGCTGATTACAGAGACAGCAGAAATGAAACATAAAAATAAATTGTGTTTAGTACTGTCCCTCTGTCCCTGGTGTCTCTTCTTCCATCCTCAGTTCTGTCTTTATTTTCAGCTATTTCTTTCACTAGGAAACTCATTTCTTTCATCCCTACTTCCCACCAACACCCCGATTTTGTGCTTTTTAAATCATCTCCCTGAGACAAAGCTCATTTGATCATGCTGCCAGCCCATCCAACCAAGGACCACTTCCAACCAAGAATAATAGATGTCTCAAAGATATTAATTTCCCAGAGGTTTGGGGGTGGGGGGATATATCCATAGCCACGTTGAAGAGAGGAACACACAGAAGTAGTAAGCCAAGAGCACTCCCAGGAAGCAATGGCCAGTGGAGCTACAGTGGATATGGGAAGTTTGGGTTTATATTTTTATTAAAGCACAACTCATTTGTTTTGGCAGGATCTTATATCAAAACCAGAACACCTCCTTCTCTCATCAAGTTTTCAGTTCTGCGAGATGTTAAGACTCACAAGTCCCAGATTCACTAGCAATGAGAATCTGGAGCATTTGGCACTTGGCAAAATCAAAGAGCCAGAAGATGACACATCTCTCTGCCCTTCAGATACACGCTTCCGGTGCTGCTCCATGGCTCTGGCTCCAGAGTGCGTGAGGGAGAGAGGAACCTGGAGTTTCAGTCTTAGTACAGCCAGTTCGCTGCTCTTGGAGAAGGAAAAAATAAAACCCACAAGGGAGAAATAGAAAGCCTG